TATATAGGTTGTTTTATTGTTTTTAATTATGTTCTGTAGTACTTTGGTCATCCAGAGTGTTTTAAATACAGTTGCAGTTGCACTATTTTATTGACTGATGTTTGAATACAGAAGCAGACGTCGCCTTCTAGTATCCGGACAGGCCTCTCCTCTCCATAATACTAATGTGGTTTGTGTGTCTGTAGTAAATATTGTGTACAGTTTATTGACCTCGGCGCTCTGGAGAGAGAGAGGGAAATCCCCAAATCTAAAATCAGCTCATCAGATCCTGTTTCAGATCCACTACTCCACTGCTCCGCTCTAGAACAAGATGCTAAAACAGAAATACTATAGTCTGCAAAGGTTAATTACATCAAAATGTGAATGGTGCCAGTTAGCTAATCCCAACGCTGCAGTATTCTCCTGTCCTCTGTGGAAAACGAAATGTCCCTGTGTGTCAGATGCCCTCCCTGTGTCTCCATAGAGGGTCTAATTATGTGTAAAAACTGCTAACTCTGTTGTATAGACCTCTGCAAACGTGCTCTGAAATGCATGAGCTCTTTGCGTTAGTTTAAAGGTGCATTGTGTAACTTTTCTGGTGGTGGCTCCGTCAAATGCTTTTCTCCATGGAGATGTTATTACTTTGTCTGGAATGTTTCACAGTATGCAAGTAAGCTTTTCTATTTTCATGCAGACCAAACCAGACCAAGTTACAGGTTAGAGCTGTGGAGAGGCAACCCCGCTCACAGTCAGAATGCCTGTTTTTCTGAGCTATAAAACCACCTGTTCATGGAAACAAGCAGATGACAGATTCTTCAGCAGAAACTTTACACAATGCACCTTTTAAAGTTCAGATTTTCTGTTATTTATTCATATATTGTGGCTTGTATTTTTTAACAATATTGTACATTTAGGATTACTGTGTCAATGTCAAGTAGTTTCCTTATTATAGTTTTAAATGTTATTACCTGTATTAATATGTATGTGACAGGTCTAACTGTACGTAGAAATTGACAAAGCTCTTATTAAAGATTGTTTTAAAAGTTTGTCAAATTAGAATATCCAGTATGTAATCTACAGTCGACTTTGCAGCTGATGTCATCAACATTTCCTGTAAGCCCTGCTCTGTCTGAGGCTTTGTTAAACTTTAATCTGGGCTTTATTTTATCACAATCTGACTTTAAAGAGCTGGTTTAGCTGGAACTACAACAGGTGAGATGATTTGTGTTGTTAAACAAGTCGCTCACACATCAAATTAGTCACAAGCGAGCTACCATTAGCCAACAGTTTTCTCAGTTAGTCACTCTCATCTTTTTTTGTTCAAAATCAATGTGTACTAGTATACGCATTGTGTCGCCATGGTAACTATTGAACATTCCACCATAGAGATTCATGTAGAACAGCCCCAGCATGCAAAGTACCAATAAAGAAGCTGTCAAAAAGAATCTTTCAAATATTTTGTTTTTTTATCCATATGGCCCAGCCCCAATGACAATTTTGTCAATACTATTTTACAACGTTGTGCCTAATCAGTAAAAGACCTGTGTTAAAGAAAACAGATTCTTGTGAGCTCTTAGCCATATTATAATATTGTTGCCTCATCAAAACCAGACCTGGAGCTGTGTTTTGTTTCATTCACACATATTTGAGTAATCCTCTATTATTAGTCTTCAAAGCTCAAAATGCTCTGCTCCACCTTCTGATGTCATGAAGCGGTAGTTTTCAATTAACAGCTCCTTTGTACCTTATTTCTTCAGTAGAGATTGGTCATTCCAGGGCTGAAATCATCCAAATGATTCTAGTGAAGGTGTATGAAGTTGGACAGTGCACAGTGGAGCAGTTCTTGTATTACCACATGACATCTCCAGGTGGAACAGAGTGTTTTCTGTTAGAGAGAAGACCTCACAACATTATAACAGATCAGAAAATAGTGTAATATGGGCCCTTTAAACATCTCACGTCAACAGTCCACAATGGCCTCTCTGTGGTTTGCATTAGTGTAGCCTCATGTTGTCTCTGCTCTGAATGGCCCCACCCCCTGGTTTTAATTGGCTCATTACTCTAATGAACTTCAGCCCTGTGTTTAAGAGGTGCAAGTCTGAACCACAGGAACTGAAGCCTGATTAAATCTGATTAGACCTAACCCACTGTCTCTGAGTGAAACGGGTTCAACGCAGAACATCTGACACCATCTATACACCAGGGACATGCATGTTTAGTTTTTTGGTTGTTTTTTTTACTCTTTAACATGTTTATTTTAAAGAACACAAAATGACATGCACTCCCTCAAAGCTACATAAAAAATGCCATTTTGAAATTCCCAGTTTTGTGACCTCACATGTAAAAGTCTGGAAATGTCCTGTGGTGTTTTTAAATCTATAAATCTTTAAATGTCAACATTTCTGCCATTAAATTACATTCAGTTATAACTGCATGATTCTGTTGTGCTGCATGTTGTAAAAGTTGCTTACCCTAGTCTAGTTATCCAAGGTCTAAAACCAGACTAAACCAGGGACTAAACAATAACATGCACAATTACTAGACCAGGACTAGACCAGGACTTGACCAGGACTTTACCCCCTGCTGAGTCCAGGGCTTGTGGGACTCGTAGCGCCCTCCTCAGGTCATGGTGAGTTCAGGCGCTGTGGGAAACCCTGGCTCTGTTATGTAACATTTAAGCTGCTCAGTTCAAAGACTTGAGAGTGAGAGAGGAGATGGACAGAGTCAAAACAAAGAGTGTATGAAAAGTGAATGCATGAAACAGGACTATATATGGCTTCTGTGCATGTTAAGACTGTTAGGCATTTAACACTGAATTTGGTGAATTTAGAATATCCTGGACTTATCTGTATGGAGTTTGCATGTTCTCCCTGTGTCTGGGTGTTCTGGTTTAAAGGATCTTGGTTTAGATTTGAAGAACACTCCAGTTTGTTGTAGTAACAGTTAACTGCTTTAGACAGAATTTAGTATTACTAAGAGATGACCATCATTGGTCTTTGACTTACTGTACATCAGCAGGTCCAAAAAAAAAAAAATCACTTGTTGTAGAATTAAACCAGTACCCCATTTTAAGACAGTAAAAAGGGGAAGTTTTCTATATATCTATATATTACCAGCCCTCGTGCTTCCTCCTGACAGACTTGTTGGAAAACTCGTTCTACTGATTTTATTAATAATAATAATAATTAGAGCCCGACCGATATGGATTTTGCTGTGGCCGATATGAAACCGATATAATGGGAGTTGGCGCTGCCGATAGCCGATATAATCGGCGATATATTTAGTGATGTAAAAATTCACTGTAAATGTTGAATTGTTTTAAAAAACTTAGGTTTGGCTCTGGTGGATTTTAAATTGGGTTTATTTAGGCAACATTTATTGTTATTCTGCCTCTTTACATCATATTTACAGACAGTAGGTTGGCTTAATGGCATTTTTGCATCACATTCTAGACACTAGTGATGGGTATTCCAGTTCTTTTTAGAGAACCGGCTCTTTTGGCTCGGCTCACTAAAAGCTGCTGGTTCTTTTGGCTCCCAAGTGGCTCTTCAGATTGTTTTGTTGCAAGCAGGACTAAAGCACGTCTAAAGCAGGACTGAATCAGGACTGAACCAGGTCTAAACCAGGACTGAAAAAGGACTAAACCGGGACTTATTTATTTTATGCTAAACTACAGTCAAATATGCTCGTTTTTTTTAATTTTTATTTTTTTTAATCCTACGTACACGCAAATTTCTCACAAGTTTCGTTTTGAGCCGCTGCCGCTGTCAAACCACGAGTCTGCACGCGGCGTGAAGAGAAAAAAAGTGAGAAAAAGAGAAAACACGGCTCCCAATAAGGATCAGGCTCCCGTCGTTCCCTTCAAAGAGCCGGTTCTAAGAGTCATTTCGTTCGCGACGGACCCATAACTAGTAAAGAAAGTAGCGCTATTAGCCTTTAGCCGTAAATACGTGCGCGCTGCAGTAATTAATTATATGCGCAAATGTCATAATTCACACGTCTATTCACAGCTCATTTACATATCAGTGCAGGTCCAGTAGCAAATATACGGCCAATATAGTCACTTTAGAACAGACCAATAGAAAACAGTCTGTTTATGTGCGGGAGCTACAGCAGCTAACCCATAACGAATGACAAAAACTAGCTTCAGGGTCGACATATTTCCAACACTCACCGCTCATACAGGCTCCTCCCACATCACAAATCTGCACTAATAAATGTCCTTTTAATTCAGACTCAAACCGATTGTCCGTAAAAAGAAAATGATCTCTGTTTGGATCTGTGTCTGCAGGTGTAAACAAACACACGTGAATGACGCGACTCTGTGGTGTGTTCAGGGACAGTATGGACACACAGACAAATGACTACATAGATAAATACTGATGTGGAGCCACATATTAGGACATTTATCTGTCTGTAAATTGGATTAAATGAACAGAATGTAGAGAGTCTAAGCTTTATAACGAGGTATAACATACCCACGTGAAATATCGGCCCCTATCAGCAAACATATCGGCCGATAGCCGATATGCCTAAAGTTGCCCATATCAGCCGATAATATCGGCCAACCGATATATCGGTCGGGCTCTAATAATAATGAATTAGTCTGATACAGCACTTTTTCAGACACTCAAAGTCACTTTACAGTTTCATGCATTATTCACTCACACCCTGTGGTGAGATACTATTATAGACACAACTGCCCTGGGGCAGACTGACTGAAGTGAGGCTGCCAATTCGGTGCCATTGGCTCTTCTAACCACCACCAACACTGTGGTGAGGCACTGGAATTTTCAGTGGTCTCCCATACAACTACTAACCAGACCAGGCCCTGCTTAGCTTCAGAGAGCTGACAGGATCAGGCTTTGACAAGGTTTGGCTTCCTCCCCTCTCCTCCTCCGTAGTGCTAAAATTATTACCAAAATCTCTCCTCCTCTTCTTCAGACCTGTTAGAAAATGACCCGCTGTACTGATTTTAAATTGCTTCCTGGCTTTAACCCTTTCTCTGTCCCTGTCCTCAGACGTGCCGGCCCCGGAGCAGCCTGAGCTGTTCCTGAAGAAGCTGCAGCAGTGTTGTACAGTGTTTGACTTCATGGACACTCTGTCCGACCTCAAGATGAAGGAGTACAAACGCTCCACCCTCAACGAGCTCGTGGACTACGTCACTGTCAGCCGCGGCTACCTCACGGAGCAGGCCTACCCCGAGGTCGTCAAGATGGTACGGTCCAACACACTAATATGTATATACATACACATACAAGAGCAGGCCTACCCCGAGGTCGTCAAGATGGTACGGTCCAACGCACACGTCAAAATTCAAGTTTATTTATATAGCACATTTAAAACAGCTTCAGTGACCAAAGTGCTTCACATGAAAGTCACAAGAAAAAATACAGGAGAAGCATAAATAATATATATGGAAAGTCAAATAAAAATAGCACAAATGTCTGTGAGGTGCATATTTCCATTAAATGCCTTCATAAATCTTTAATTGTTTGTAATTTATTTGACTGAACCCTGTCTCTGTCTCTGTCTTTGACTCTGTCTCTGTCTCTGTAGGTTTCTCACAACATTTTCCGGACTCTTCCTCCAAGCGACAGCAACGAGTTCGACCCCGAAGAGGACGAGCCCACTCTGGAGGCCTCATGGCCCCATCTACAGGTACTGGACCAGACTGGACTGGAGACTCGACCAGGGACTGAGCCGTAGACTAGACCAGGGACTGGATCAGAAATAGCTTTTAAACCTGATTTGAATGCTTTTTTCATATATGTAATAGTTTTGTTAATGCTTTTTTCTTTTCTGCAGCTGGTTTACGAGTTCTTCATCCGGTTCCTGGAGAGTCAGGAGTTTCAGCCGAGCATTGCCAAAAAGTACATAGACCAGAAGTTTGTCCTACAGGTGAGTCCCAGGCATCTCAGACTGTTTTTGTGCCCTTTGGCAGCTACGCTTGCATCAGTCAGCCAGAGGGCATCTGTGACTGTGCCTAGAGTTGCATAAATGTGGTAGTTTAACTTTGGATTGAAGGATTTATGAACTTTTCCTGTCAATAATGTCCCTGTGTACAATCAAAAGACAATTTCAGTAGTGCAATAAACTGCTGTTGGCTTTGTTGCAATTATTGAAAAAGAAAACAGGCAGACATAACAGAGGAGCAGGTCCAGTTTTTGTCGAATCATTTGAATAATATTAGTATAGTATTGTATAATGAGTATATTGTAATAATCAGTAGTGATGCATGTGGGAATATACACGGGTGTTTCAGTAGGCCTGTGTGTTTAAAGCATATGATGCATTTAGGCTATTAAAAGCAGATGATGAAAATTACTTTATAACAAGAGCCGATTATTGTAAATTATTTCAAAATCTTGTTCCTGCCCTTGTAGTAATGCTTCTGTCAGTAAGAGATCCCTGTGTTCTGTGTGTATCTCTTGCTTATTTTGTGTTGATTTTCAGTTTTTGACTCTTGCTTCTTTGTGTTCTCAGCTGTTGGAGTTGTTCGACAGTGAGGACCCGCGGGAGAGGGACTACCTGAAAACAGTGTTGCATAGAATCTACGGGAAATTCCTGGGACTGAGGGCTTTTATACGAAAACAGATCAACAATATTTTTCTACGGTGAGTCCAAACAGTTACGCTTTTATACTTTATTCATCGTTAATGTAAAGCTTTCTCTCGGGGTATAAGTAAGACCTAAGCAGTGAACCTGGTTGCTGGTTTGAATCCTATTGTGTCTCTGGGCAGTACACTTTCACCCCCATTTCCCACTCTAGTTTCTGCTGTGTAACTGGTTATGACAGGATATTGTGACATTGGAAAAGATTATTCACTGGGCTCTTGGTCTTTTTCTCTTCCTTGATATCAGACATGTAAGCAGAGAAATTTGATGGTGTGAAGCTCACCTTAGCCACTTCACACTGTTGCTGTGTCCTTGAGCATGACTTGCTGCACTTGTCTGTAGAGGAAATTGTGTCTTTGCGTTTTGCTATTTGTGAGCATTTAAATTGATTTAACTGTGGTTAGAGCAGGGTGATATGGTGATAAAAATCGAGAATCGTGAACTCATTCCTGTCACAATCTGCCATTTTGGACACATTGTCATATTGTGATATGTTGATTTGTATTTAAACATTCACAGTGAGGCGTGCTCTTTCAGAAGAAGCAGATTACTTTATTTGTCTCTTAAACTCAATAGAAAAGTACGAAATGTAAACTGTGATCTAGCTCTAAGAAAATTGTGATTTATTTTCCATATCGCCCACCCATCCACCTCTATATGTTAAGTTGCCCTTTTGGAATGCATGTGTTATGTAATATCTTGATTAACGCTACATTTTATCTGACTTGTGTGATTTTATTTTGGTCTTGTCTCTAACTCTCTGCTGATGTTTTTTCTTTCAGTTTTGTTTATGAGACGGAGCACTTCAATGGAGTGGCAGAGCTGCTGGAGATCCTGGGCAGGTCAGTCTCATACTGTGGGGTGCTCTCTGCAGTAGTCCCTGTTTGTGTCTAAGACTTCAACATTGTTTAACTCAGGGTAGCCGTGGGGTCTTAAAAGTCTTAAAAAGTTAAAATTTCATGTTCCTAAATTAAGGCCTTAAAAAGTCTTAAATTATGTTGTTCAAGACTTATTTTTTCACAAATGTCTTAAATTTCATTAGGCTATTTTTCTGTATACTCAACCGGTCTGCAGTGCGATGTTAAATGGAGGGAGGAAAAAAAAACAACAACGTGAAATTACATGAATAAACGTCTAATTTGGAGTATGCGCAAATAATACTTTGGTTTGTGACGGCGGCAATTAGTAAACAATCAGTAGAGTGGAGGAAGACGGATGGATCATGGGGAAGTGTAGGTTTAGTCCACAGTGGCTCTTAAGTTCTAGATGTAGTACCGTAGTTGGTTGATCATTTATTAGATTTGGATCTGGTGTTTTCCGCTCGCATAATGGGTGCGATGTTGGTCTTAATTTTCATTTAAGTGGTCTTAAAAAGGTCTTAAAAAAGTCTTAAATTTGGGGTAGTCAAACCTGGGGATACCCTGTAACTCTATTAGACACAGACAAAAAGTAAAAATAAAGCTGTTTAAATAAAGTTATGTTGTTTTGTTTTTCAGTTTAAGTAAAGTTATGTATTATATATTGTTTTGTTTCACAGTATAATAAACGGCTTTGCTCTGCCGCTGAAAGCTGAACACAAACAGTTCCTCGTCAAAGTGTTGATTCCCCTCCACACAGTGCGGAGCCTGTCCCTCTTCCACGCACAGGTGAGTCTATATACACCTGTACACTGTTAAAAAAAACAGTGGTATAACAGCACAAGTAAATCTCTACACACCTGTACACTTTTAATAAACACAGGTATAACAGCACAGGTAAATCTCTACACAGCTGTACACTGTTAATAAACACAGGTATAACAGCACAGGTGAGTCTGTATACACCTGCACAGACTTTTTAACAGCTCAGGTGAGACTATTATCACACGTGTGTGTATGACCACACTGTCCAGAGCCTATCCCTCTTCCACACAATGGTAAATCTATACACACCTGTATACTGTTAAAAACACAGGTATAACAGCACAGGTGAGTCTATACACACCTGTACACTGTAAAAAATAAACAGGTAGATATCAGGACAGGTGAGACCATGATCACATGTATCTGTCTGACCACACAGTAGAGCCTATCTCTCTTCCACACACAGGTGAGATGTGCTTCACAGGCCATATACTCACTATAAAAACACAAGTACAAAACGGCACAAGTCAGTCCACATACTTAGCTGTACACAGGACTACAAGAGCTCAGGTGAGTCTATACCTGATACTAGACTCACCTGTACACTGTAAAACAATAACAACAGAGGTGAGCCTGTACCTGACACCTGTACACTGTAAAAACATACAGATGTAGAACAGCGCAGGTGACACCATGCACACCTGTACACTGTAAAAACACATGCATAACAGCGCAGGTGACGCCATACACACCTGTACACTGTAAAACCACACAGATGCATAACAGCACAGGTGATGCCATAAATACCTGTACACTGTAAAAATACACAGATGTATAACAGCACAGGTGACGCCATACACACCTGTACACTAAAATCACTACTGCACAGGTGACACCATACACACCTGTACACTGTAAAAACACACAGATGTATAGCAGCACAGGTGGCCCCATACACACCTGAACAGAGTAAAAACATAAGTATTAAACAGTAAACTAAAATACCTGTACACTGAGGTTATATAATAGCAGGTAAAACTATAACGGCACAGGTGAGGCTATGAACACCTGTACACTGTAAAAACTATTTAACCACACAGGTGAGTTTACTTTATTCCAGACTCTACCGCCTGTACTTATTGCATTCCACCATGATACACTGTAAAAACGCTGGAATATAATAGCGTAGGTAAGACTAATCCTCCACAACATTATAACCAATTATTTTTGGGCTCAATGGAGAAAGCCGCTTCCAAAAATGTTTCTAGCCAATGAAAATGTATTCATATTTTTGTTGTAATTATAGCACAATTAAAAACAGACAGACATTTATCAAGTATCTAGAAACCCACTTTACCCTGGCAGACTAGACTAGGTTTTTGTAGATGTTTGTCTACAATTATGATAAATTACCATGGTTTATGTCCTGGTTCAGTCCCTGGTTCAGTCCTGGTTTAGTTCTGGTTTGGTCCTGGTGTGTTGTGTCTTGAAGGTCACTTTGTTTTGGTACATATTTACAGACAGTTTAATGATTAATCCTGATTTCCTGATGTTTATGGCTCAGAGCAGCTGTTTCTTATCCTCGCAAAACAACACGGCATTTACAGAGACACCTTTCTGTCAACTAATTATTTTAATGGGCCTATATTTCCCTATTTTCTCAACTGTTCTATTAGTGTTTCCTTATCACAAACTGACCTGGAGTTGTTTTGTTTCAGTCACGCACGTTTTACACAAAAACCCTGCATATTTAGGCTGAGCTCTTCTCTCAGACAGAAACCACTTTTTCCACCTTGTGATGTCATGTGGTAGTACAGGAAGTGCTCCATTATATTTTTAAATTGCGTACACCTTCACTAGAATCATATGGAGAATGCCAGCCCTGCAATTGCCAATTTCTACTGACATCACAAGGTGGAACAGAGCATTTTGAGCTTTGGAGCCAGACATAATAATAAAGGATTACTCAAACACAACTATGTAACTTTTCTGGTGAAGGGCAATATTTACCATTACCAATATAAAGATTTAGAAACAGTGAGGGTCACAATGTATGTAGAATTGTATTAAGTTCATAAATTAACTTCTGTAAACTGTAACAGGTGAAAATCTACTCACCTGTACACTATAAAAAAAAGAATAATACAAGAATTAGGGATGTAACAATAACCAAAATATCGTGATATCTTATCGTCAAAGTTCTCACAATAATATCGTGGACCATCACAATATATCGAATTAAATGAATTAAATGATTGCTTAAATGAAGAGTTAAGGTGCAGCAACAGCTAAAAAAAAGACACAGAGAACTACATAGACCATGATCCTTTGCTCCGTTTCAGTGCAGACTACATGAAGAAATAACAGTTGTAAACACTTTTTTTTAAGAGGAAAAAGAAGCATATTCACAGTTTTCTTCAGCCTCCACAAAATATCGCGATAAAAATTGTGCCGTGAGATGTGTATCATGAAAATATCGTTCTGAGAGATTTGGATATTGTTACATCCCTAATCGTGAGCCTCCCCACCACATCATGAGCCTTCCCACGATATCGCAATAAATATCGTACCGTGAGGTTCATACCGTGACGATATCGTATCATGAGACTTGGATATCGTTACACCCCTAACAAGAATATATCAGCGCAGGTGAGAGCTCTGTAAAAACACTGCTGTACAGGTAAAGCCACATACTGACCTACAAACTGTAAGAACACACTCAAAAATAACAGTACAGGGGAGTCTACACCTGACACCGCACTCACCTGTCCTAACTGCATTCTAACACCATACACTGGAAAAACACTGGAATTTAACAACATGTGTAAATCAATCTTATTGTAAACTCTACAATATCACCAATATATAATGCTCACCCCAAGTTTAGGCAACGTTATTGTAGTCTGGAGGGCTTCTCATAACTTAGCTTTTAGTTTTCTCTTATTAACAAACTATTTCTGATCCATTTTGTCTCACTTGTCCCTTTTTAATGAATTGACTTGTGATAATGTCCAGACGTTTAGTTATAATTTTAGTCTTTGTGGCAGCTCTCTTCAGTTCTAACTCCTCTCTCTCTTTTCACAGTTGGCGTATTGCATTGTACAGTTCCTAGAGAAAGACCCCACATTAACAGAACCAGTGAGTATCTTTCTGAATAATTCTGCTAACTTTTGTTTTTCCTTAACCAGTGAATTACTAAAACTGGCATACAGCAGAAAAAGGGTTTAGAATTTAGTTTCATGTAAATACTAACTACTGTGTATTTGTGTTTCAGGTGATCAGAGGATTACTCAAGTTCTGGCCAAAAACCTGCAGTCAAAAAGAGGTGAGAAACATTTTTGGATATGGTTACAATGCAGAGGGGAGGGCCAGAGGGAGGAAAAGAGAGGGTCAGATGGAGCAGAGGATGTAGAGAAGCACGTCAGATGATACAGAGTGTTAAATCTGTCATATTTTTTTCGTAGGTGATGTTTTTGGGGGAGTTGGAGGAGATTCTGGACGTTATTGAACCCACACAGTTCGTAAAAATCCAGGAGCCACTTTTCAAACAGATCTCCAGATGTGTGTCCAGCCCGCACTTCCAGGTAACACCCTTTCACAATAAAAGTACACGCAAACCAGGGGGGTATAAACTAGTTAGATACCAGTGTTTTCTGTTTTCCTGATACCAAGTACTATCGCAACATCAATCTGGGGCTGCAACTAACAATTATTTTAGTAGTTGTTTATTGAGTATTCCCTGTTTTCCCTGGGTGCTGTAGGTGGCAGAGCGGGCCCTGTACTACTGGAATAATGAGTATATCATGAGTCTGATCGAAGAAAACTCCAGCGTCATCCTGCCCATAATGTTCTCCAGCCTGTACCGCATCAGCAAAGAGCACTGGAACCCGTAAGTACTGCAAATACTACTACTACTAACTATTACAACACACAATACTCACTCCAAATGACTATTAAACACTACTGACCAGGTTTCACAGTCAGTCCGTACTATTGTTGTGCCTGTAAATGTGATACAGTTTCTTTATGATATAGTTTTTGTTTTTTGTGTTGTTGAGCTATGCCACAGCACAACAACAGAAAGTGGTACAGAAATGATGCAGTCTGTACTATTTGAGTCCAAGATGTGCTGTGTGTGTGTTGGTGGTTGGTGGGGCTGATGGTGGCAGCTTTGCTTCTGTCAGTCGCCCCAGGGCAGCTGTGGCTACAATAGCGCCTTTCCACCACAGAGTGTGAATGAATAATGTACCAAACTGTAAGAGTAAAGTGACTTTGAGTGTCTGGAAAAGTGCTGTATACATCTAATATTTGACCATTTGGCCTCTTTCTCTGACTGATATTTACTTCTATCAACTGTGTTTAGTTGTTTTGTTTTTTCAGTTTTAAACCTTTCTCCTTTTTTTTTCTTGAGCTCTTTTGTTTCGGAGCGATTGTAGAGCTGGTGTTTTTAATTCTACGAACTGTATTGCATTTTATATTTGCTTATTATAGTTTGAAACCTCTTCTCTCTTGTGTTTCTCTCAGAGCGATCGTGGCGCTGGTGTACAACGTCCTGAAGGCCTTTATGGAGATGAACAGTACTTTATTTGATGAACTCACAGCCACCTACAAATCAGACCGCCAGCGGTGAGGACACAACCACTATTTAACATCTGTATCACAACATTAGAATCCCTGTAGTTTAAAGTGAGCTGGAGATAGGTCAAAATACAGGTGGAGTTTTCTGTGGAACTGTCAGATTGCAGATTTGTTGACCTGGTTTATGGTTCATATCTTTGTAATTACTGGATCTCACGAAACAAAAACTGGTGCAAAGTTCAACATCTTCTCTGTCAGAATAAACAAACAAAAGGCAAATGAATTTTTTTCACTATAGCTTTGGAAAGTGGTGTCATTATTCAACTCCAAAGAGGTGATTGTTGTCATCTGAAAGGACTTTAAGACATAAGATTAAAATGACAAGTTTGTGGAGCCAATCTTAAACAAATGATGAGAAGGTTCAGCATTTGTGGAAGTTTGGAGATTTCTTTCAAAAACAGTGAATTCCCCATAGAGTTATATTGATATTTTGCAGTGACGTCACTCTAGAGGTGTTCTGCATGTATGTGTATGGTGAAATGTTCAGCAGTTACCACAATGACACAATGCACGCAGCAGCAAACATTGTCAAAAATGTTTTAAGATAATCTGAAAATCCAAGGAAAAAATACAAACAGCACATTTTCAGCAGTGTTCATGGTCCTGTTTAGGAGTTTGATTTTCAACAAAAAGGTGAGAGTGACTCACTGAAAAACTGTTTTGACTGTAATTTTATGTGTGAGAGACTTGTTTAACAGCACAAAGCATCTCACCTGTTGTAGTTCCAGCTCCTTTTGGCCAGATAGTGTTCAAACAAAACAACAATAAAACAAAAGCCTCAGACAGAGCAGTGCTTACAGTTGGCATCACACCCCCAGGGAATGTTGACATGCCCTCTATCTGAAATTATGGTATGAAATTCTAGAACATGAACACTATATATATTTTTCCTCTTTGTTTCCAGTGAGAAGAAGAAGGAGAAGGAGCGTGAGGAGCTGTGGAAGAAGCTGGAGGACTTGGAGCTAAAACGCGGCCTTCGGAGCGACGCCATTATCCCCACTTAACGAACCTTACGTCACTTCCTGTCCCGCCCCCTCCACTTCCTCCTCCTCCCGTTTCCCCGGCAACGACGACGACCGCCATTTTGTTCTGCTCCTCCTTCTCCAAGAATCGGGAGTCGAGTCAAAGCTGTTTTTTCTTAATAATTTTGATTTTTTTTTTTTTGTGTTTTGTGCGACTTTATTTACCGTAGAACCATCACTTTTTTGTTTAGCTATCATTATTTCAAAGTAAAAGCACTGTAAATAATTACTAAAGTAGCTTGGAAGTAGGCGTCCCAGTGTGGGCTTTTAATTTGAAGGTTTACATTGCTGGATTTTCACATTAAAAGCCTGCATTTGGACACATACTTCCTGGAATACCTTAGTTTTACCATGACGTGGGTGAATGAGACCTTCCCAGTCACTGTAAATAATTATTTTTTTCTGTTTTTTTTTCTGTTTCTCCCGTTAAAGCTGATAATATTATTGCGAAAACAATACAAAAATGACAATAATAAAAGAGATAAAAAGTGGAAATAGACTTTTGTGGGAAGGGGCTGTTATTTTGGCGGGATAATATTAGTTAATGCTCCTGTTTAGATTTTTGCTTTCACCCTTCACTTCCTGTGTCCTTTCAGAATAACACTACAGATAGAAAACACTTGGCTGGAGTCCGTTTACATGCAAAATTAATTTACATTTTGGATAATTTTTAAAGATGACTTTTATGGAAATAATGTGTCATTTGCAAATTGGCCAACAATGAAAATCTGAAATATTTTTTGTCTTAAGCAAAGTGAACACTTTTTTCATTAAGAATTATGCTTTTAATGAATGTTAAACTCAGACCGAACCAGGACTAAACTGGGTCTGAACTGAACCAGGATTATACCAAGACTAACTCCACCTCTTCTCTGAAAAGGCCCCTAATTTTTGACCATTTTTAATAGAAACATCACTGGCAAATGTCTTAAATTCTAAACACACTAAACACTAAACTTGGAATTTTTATTTAATTCTTGAAAAGATGCTTTTGGTCCAAAGTTTTGACAAAACATAGACTTGTTGCATGTAAACAGACTCCGTCTTCTTTAGACCTGGTTCACCTTTTTATTTCTCATCTTTTTGTCTTAAAACTGCTAAAAAAAAAATCATTCACATAATTACAGTTCTACCTGTTTTTCATCATAGGCCAAGTTTTCAGTTTGTCTGTGAAGCAATAACAAATACTCAATTTCAATTTGTAATTTCAGTCCGACTTCACTTTTAAAACTGTTAAATCTGAAAGCATGAAGACTATTCCTGATGTTGAAGTTGATAAGAATGGAATGACAAATCTTGTATTATTTTACCATCACAACCTGCAAAATTAAACATTTGAATATTTTTCCTGAACACATTCGACAAAAGGTAAAATGTAAAGTTCACATTTTAGCTAATGTAAATCCCAGTAATGTACATTGGTCTAACTGGAACAGAGTACAAGAAAAGACGCCATTACTGTGTTTTGCTAAACCACAATTTCACATTTATCTTCTTGTGGGTGTCAGTTTTGGGCATGAATTTGTAAACTTTAAATATTTTTTTCCCCACAAAAGCTGCTTCATTGAAAACCCAAAACTTGGCTTAGTTTCTGTATCAGTCTGGCACTGGTACAAACTGCCTACATTTTCCAAACTCCATTCAACTGTGGTGCAATGAACTGCCTAAGGGGGGCGCTATTCTTCACAGTATTCAACCTCCAGACTCGGACGTGTTCGCTGATAAATGCCAGTTTAAGTCAGTTTAAGTCGTATTGTAGAAGTTTGTATAGAAATGAAAGAGGAGAGGCTGTGGCCATGTTGGATAAAAATGGATGGAAGTCAATGAGAGAGACAAACATACGGGCTTCATCATGTTATTGTCATTATAAATACTTTAAATGGTGCTGAATTAAAAACAGGTTTCGAAGTTAAAAGGTGTTATGGAAGAATAGGGCAAAAAGCTGTTGAAGTAATTCACTAATAACTTGATTTAAAAGTCTCTGGTTTAGACGGGGTTAAATCCTAAATCAGACCTGGTTTTGTCTGAAATTGTGTACCTGGTTTAAAACAGGGTTTAGACCTGGTTTAGTCCAAGATTTAAGGCCTGGTTTAGTCTGAGCTTTTAGTCCTGGTTTAGTCTTGTTTTTTCATTCCTATAATGTTGATTAATCTTTTAGTTTGGTCTGATTATGGGTAACTAATCCATTATAATGTAGTTATAGTCCCTGAAGATTTGTCTGTTTTCAGGTTTGGTTTAGTCACTGGTCTAATCCTGCTTTAGTTTATGTTTAAACCCAGTTTAGTCCTGGCTAAATCCTCTTTAAGATCTAGTTTAGTCCCTAGACCTCGATGAGTTTTGGCCTAGGCCTGGTTTAGATCTGGTTTAGTCCTTTGTCTAATCCTAATTTAGTTTTGGTTTAGCCCTGGTTTAAACCACGATGTGTCATAATCAAGTATGTATTTACCTCTGTGTTTACTTTAGTCTTGGTCTAGACTTGGTTTACTTCTGGTCTAAACCTGGATTAGATCTGGCTTTAGACCTTGGTTAGTCTTGGCCACATTCAGGTTTAGCCCTGGTCTAGTCCTGGTCTATGTTGTGGTTTAGACTTGGTTTAGTCCAGGTTAACTCTTGGTTTATCTCTTGGTTTATGTCCTGGTTTAGGCCTTGTCTAGTTTTTGTCTAGACTTGGTGTAGTTCTGGTCTAGACCTGACCTTGAGTAGTCTTGGCCGTGTTCAGATTTATTTTTGGTCTAGGTCTGGTTTAATCCCTGGTTCAGACCTGAATTGAACCCTGGTTTTGCCCTGATTTAGTCTTGGTCTAGTCCTGGTTTAGCCCTGGTTTAGACCTGGTTTAGTCCTGCTTTAGACCTGGTTTAGACCTGGTTTAGACCTGGTTTAGTCCCGGTTTGGTCCTCGTGAGCCCTCTGTCTCTCATTGGCTTCCATTCGTTTCCACGGTGGCGTCTTTAGCATCAGTCTGTTTTAGCGCCTTAGCTCTTCACTTCCTGTTGAGTTTTCTTTGAGTTCTTGGAGCATTTCGGGTCTATATTTTCGTAGTGGGAGGGTGGTCTCTGTCTGTCCATTTCTGTCTGATTTCTTCCTCTTTTTTTGCAGCAAATTTAATGTGTGCTTAGAGCGGCCCAAATGTACAATTTATGATTTCAAAAACTGCAAAAACCAAGAAAAAAAAACACACACAAAAAGGGTTGGAGAAATACAAATGTTTAATTATTTTAAAAAATAAAGAGATATTAAATTAAATCTGTTTTGTGATAAAGTCCAGACAATATTTCTTTATTGCTCATTCTCCCTGTGTTGCTGTGGTGGGTATCCTGTCTGAGTAAAGGAGGTTGTGGGTTAGACTCCCTGGCTCAATGGCCGTCTGAAGTTGTTACAAAATGAACAAAAACAAATGTAGGATGATATAATTTATTTTTAAACATTTGGAAATACAGTTTTAAATTTAAAATGCTTTCAAATACATTCATGAAAATATTTTCTTTCCATTGCAAGAGTTGTAGCTTTTTATTTAAAGGTGCATTGTGTAACTTTTCTGGTGGAGGGTCTGTCAAACGCTTTTCTCCATGGAGATGTTATTGCTGATCTGCAATGTTTTACAGTATGGCATTAAACCTTTCTATCTTCATGGAGTCCAAACCAGACCAAGTTACAGGTCAGATCTGCGGAGATGTGACCTCGCTCACAGTCAGAATGTTTGTTTTTCGAGATCATTTTGAGTTATAAAACCACCTGTAAAGTAGAGCTGTTTAATGTAACACTGTGGAACATTCTAGACAGAGCAATGACATCTCCATAGAAACAAGCAGGTGACAGACCCCCAACCAAAAAGTTACACGATGCACCTTTAAGTTCAACCGTCTGTTTTGCTGCTTGACTTTTGGTTGAATGAGGAGAACATGCAAACTCCTCTGGCTCCAGGAATCAAACCAGGAACCTTCTTGTTGTGAGGCGAGAGTTGTAAACATTCAATACATTTTTAAAGAAAAGCAAAGCAAAAAATACAATATAGACTATTACAAACAAGAGACCAAATTCACCAAAGCATATAGAGAAATGGTTCCATATTTTTCACCAGCAGAGGGAGCCAAAGCTTTTCTTTTTAAATAAACTTATAGACGTAAAGTGTTCATCAAATGTGGAAAGAAAATGTAAAAAAATAAAACTAAATTGCATAAAAGTTCAACAAACTATTTTGAAATTCCCTGAAAATTTCACATTTTTTTGATTCTGAGCAGAAAAAGGCAGTGAAGAGAGAGGCAGAGGAAACGAGTCACTCTGAAAAGAATGAAACAGTCAAGGTGTCTTGCCCAAGGACACAAAGGTAGAATGCCTTTGATGCATAACACACTGTCAAAGCACTAAACGACAATCAGTGAAGACAAGAAATAAATAACACCAAAATCCTTCAGACGAGAGTTGAAGAGTTACAGTCAAAATAATTTGATCGGATCTGAAACATGTCACAGAAATAATTTAATCAATGTCACGATTCTGCTGAAAAAAACAAAATATGAGTGAATTCATTTGGATGAATTTACAAATATAATTGTAATTTTTTGTGTCAAAAGTAACACTGTTTTTTCAGGTATTTTGTTTTATTCATGGTTTCAGATTTTTGTTATATCCAATATTTTATAGACATTTTCCCATTCAAAAGATATTTGAAAATATTTAATTACATTATTATTGTTGTTTATTTATTTAAATATTAAATATATAATGAAATCTTGAAATTGTAATCACTATGATAACAGTCCCAATTTCTGACATTCTGAAACCCATGGATATAAAATAACTTGTCCACTCTCCACCTTATATGTCTATGTCTAACATGACTTGTGTATGTCCTGTCCCAAAACTAAAGGTTTTAACCAGAACTAAATCAGGACTAAACCTGGACTAAATCAGGACGAAACCTTGTTGATAACAGGCAATAAAAGAAACAAATCCAAACTAAACATATTCATCCATTGTCGTACACCAGCACAGTCTGCGGTTGGAAGTCCGTCAGAACTCCTTTCAGTCTCTTCCTGTTGGGTCCCGGGTTTAGACCAGGACCAGAGCCAAGACTGGACCCGGGCCCGGACCTGGGACTCGTGCTGGGTCCAGGTCTCTCTCCGGGTCTGGCTCCGGGTCTCGCTCGCCCCTCCTCTCTCTCACTCAGGGCTGGTTCCAGGTGGATTTTCCGGAGCAGGTTTTGGATCAGAACCGCGCGGCGCAGATAAACTTCTGGATCCATCAGAAACCTCAACTTCTCCAGAGACAAGGCCAAAATACAGCCACGGTCCTCGGACAGGATCAGGTGCTACAGACGGGGGAAAAACACTTTAAGGAACTGCATTCAAATACAGCTGAACTCCAGTTGTTTAAACATAAAGCATCTCTGATCTGAAGGGTCACTCCTAAACCCCAGCACCTGCACTAGTCATGAGTCAGCGCTAGTGCAGCCTCTGCAGCTCAGGGAGGGAATTCTGGAGGTTCTGAGTTTTAAATGAGGTCTGGCCATAAACTGAGAATGAGACAATGTATGTGTCTCTATCTGCAGGTGAAGCCCCTGGAGACACAGGCTCAGTTGTGACTCTAACATGAAGGATTTCGTGTTTTTCTGACTTTAGTTTGGTGGGATGTACCTGTGCTGAATATTTGTCACTTCTCCTCTCCTCGTCTGCTCCTTTGACCCTCTTTCTTTATACTGATTTTATATCTCACTCTTGTTTGCCCTAAATACTCTGATACACTGTTTCCATAAATCAGTTAATCCCTGGTTCTCGGTTTAGTCTTTTGTTAAATGCGATGGTGTTGTCATGGAAACTGCACGCTCTGTTGTTGAAGGAAGAGAGACAGAGTAATGAGTGAATAAGCTGTAGATCTAAACTCAAGGACTTCAAGAGCAGAAGAAAAATACTACAAGAACCACTCTGCAATGTGATGTTAGATTTGGAGAGCATGTTTGAGTAAACTTAAAAGTCCTATATTATTACACTGGGTGATCTAATAGAATGTTTCCTCCTCAAAAACTGGCCCGGACTTGTGTTTTGTTTCATTCACACATGTTTAACACACAAACCCTGCTTATAGTGTCATGTCCTGTTTGTTCCCTTTTATTTTGTTATTACTTACCCTGTTTTCTGTTGCAGATTTACTTCCTCCTCTTGTGTTCCCGCCTTTGATTACTGCCCCGCCCTAATGTGCTGCACCTGTGTTCCATTAGCTCCCCTTTTTAGTCTGTGGCTTGTCTTCCCCATTTGTCAGATTGTCTTTCTGTTCTGTGGATGTTTCTGTGTTTTGCAAGTCTTTTGGATTCATTAAAACCCGTTTAATACTGCTTCGACTCTGGGTCTTTTGGAGCCAATCTTCGCACTACCTGACATATAGTTCTTCTCTCAAACTGAAAACACTCCTTGTTCCACCTTGTGATGTCATGTGGTGATACAGGAAGTGCTCCACTGTGTTTATAAACTCCACACACCTTCACTAGAATCATTTGAATAATTTCAGATCTGGAATTGCCGATCTCTACTGAACAAAAAGTAAAAAAGGAGCTCGAAAACCATCGCCTCATGACATCACAAGGTGGAACAGAACATTTTGAGCTTTAGAGATGTAGACAGACTAATAATAAAGCAACTCCAGGTTTGTTTTTGAGGAGGTAACAATCTTATAAAATGATTTAAAGCTCACAAGAATCCATTTAACGCAATATAGGGTCTTTAAATCTAATGTTTTAGAGAAATTAGTCTAAACTGTCCTTTGCACTTTCACCCAGACACACTAGAGGATGGTTCAAATGCAGAGGACACATTTGTCTAATAATAAAGTAATGTAACGACTGAATCCAGCAGTTATCGTTTTAGCCTGATTTGACCTTACTTTGTGTAGGTAAGCCGGCAGCGCTGGGGGCAGCTCTTCTTCTGCATATTTCCTCTTAAAATAAGCGACTTTCGACGTCCTTAAATGGTCAAGAGCCTCCGACAGGAAACAGCTGTGGACAGAAGGAAATGTGTCAGATGCCCTCCCATCCTGCTACAGTATAAAACCAGGGACAAAGTCAGGACCAAACCAGGACGAAATCAGGGACTAAACCATCCTCATGTATCCTTGTATGTCAGATGCCCTCCCGTTTTCTTATATCCCTATGTGAGACTAAACAAGGACTGAACCAGGACTAACCCAGGACTAAACAAGGACTAAACCAAGACTAGACCAGGTCTAAACCAGGATTAAACCAGGACTAAATAAGGACTAAACAAGCACTAAACTAGGACTAATTTAGGACTAAGCAAGGACAAAACCAGGACTAAACCAGGACTCAACAAGGACTAAACCAGGCATTAAACAAGGATTAAACCAAGACCAAACCAGGACTAAATCAGGACTATACCAGGCACTAAAGCAAGACTAAACCAGGACTAAACTAGGACTAAACCAGGTCTGCACCAGGGACTAAACCAAGGACTAAACCATCTTTTTGTATCCTTGTGTGTCAGATGCCCTCCTGTTTTCTTATATCTATATGTGGGACTAAACCAGGCACTAAACCAGGACTAAACCATCCTCCTGTCCCTGTGTGTCAGATGCCCTCCCCTCCTCCTGGCTCCCTGTGGTGTGAATAGTTTATGTAAATAAAGTGTTGCATAAATGTCCCTGATTGTCAAACGTTACGAAACACAGACGCCTCTGAACGTGACTCATGCTCAGATCAAACTCGAGCCAAAAGAAGACGACGAGACAATAAAGCTGCACCGTGTAACTTTTGCACCTGTTTGCTTCCGTGGTGACGTGATCGTTTTGCCTGTGATGTTCCGCAGTATGGCATTAATGACATACTGTATCGATCATGTATTTATATAATAACAGAAATCCATTTGAAAAACATGTATTCTTACTGTGAGCAGGATCGCCTCTCCACAGATCTGACTTATAATTTAATATTCACAGCTTGGCGTGGTGGTGTTTCCTGATTGTTACCGTGGAGATAGATACGTTTAATGCTATATTGTGGAAAATCTAGAGAAATACAGACAAGCAGTAACATTTCCAAAGAGACGAGCAAATGGTGAAATTACGCAGTGCGGCTTTAACAAAAAAAACAAAAAAAACAAAAAAAAAAACAGGAACTGACTTGGAAAGATGCACAGTTTTGACATGACCATGTTTAAACCTAAATGCTCCTTGTGTGTCAGATGCCCTCCCTGTGTCTCCATGGAGTCTTAGTCTGCATAGAAGCCTGTAGTTTAGACTCTACAAACATGTTCTCACAGCACGGGATTCTAGTTTCGATGTTGTAAACTGATCATTTCATTGCTCAGATTTCGTTCTTTCAAATACATCTCAAGTTTTGAATCTTGCAGTTATTGATTTTAGCCTCATTTAAACAGCTTCACCTCTCATGTGCTCAGAAATGACAGAGGAATCCCTAATCATGCAGAACAGAACTAGTTTAAAACACAGAAATAATTCATTAACAAATTGGTTTTAAAATCTGTGTACAAAACAGAGCATAAGTCAAGATTTGATTTTGTGGCAGCAGAAATATTTCACAGTATGGCATTAAACAGAACATGCATAGAGAAAAACACATGACAGTACCAGGCCAAGTAACACGTCAGATCTGTGAAGAGGAGGAGTTTTTCAATGTAGTTTTTGAACAGTTAAAACATCTGTAATTGAATAAATGCACGCTACTTGGATAGTCTAATGCCATACTGTGAAACATTCCTGGCAAAGAACCAACATCTCCATGGAGACAAGTCATTTGCAGACTCTCCTCCTCATCAGAAAAGTTACGCAGTGCACCTTTAAATTGTAAAAACGTCACATTCAAAGTCGTTCAATTTGCAGACCTACTTGCTTTACAATTAGGAACATAAAAAACATAAAAATATGAGAATAATTTGGTCAATATTTGATTTAATTGTAGCAGAAGTGTTTGTCTTTTTGCTTAAAACATAAAAATAAAAAAATAATAACTATATATTTTCCAGTGTAGCAATTTTACATTCACTCAAAATTTCAGTGTAATAAAATTCATCTTTAAAAATGTATTTATATGCAGAATTTCTTACCTTAAAAGCACAAATGTTTTGGTTCCAGCTCTCTATCTCCAGCTCTGAGGTCCTGCAGCTTAAGTCCAGTTTAAGACCGGTTTAAATCCAGTTCAGCTTGGTCTTGGTTTGGTCTTTGGTCCAGGTTTCGGTCTGGCTTCAGTCCGGTTATGATCCTCTATGTGGTTCAGTTATAGGTTTAGATTGTTGTACTGTTATAGATGCTGCTTTTTGATCCTGTTTAAGTCTAGTTTAGGTCCAGTGCTAGTCTTGGTTCTGGTCTTGGTTTTCGCCCGTTTTAGTCCAGTTTTTGTCCCTGGTCTGTTTTGAAGGAAGGAAAACCCTCTCTTTGAGCATCACAGCAACAGCCCTCTCCTCGCTGCGCTCTGATTGGGTGGTTCAGGCCACGGTGGGCTGTGATTGGTCGATTCGGAGCCAGGAGAGGAGGATGTTGCTAAGAAACAGAAGCCTATACAGCAGAGACGGACCAATCAGAGACAAGCATTCAGGGATGGTAAATACAATACATGAATGAATACAAAAGATTGAAATAAACATGGATTAAAGCAGGACTAAACCAGTACTCAATCAGGACTAAATCAGGACTCAACCAGGACTAAAACAAGACTAAAACAGAACTAAAACAGGATTAAAACAGAACTAAAACAGGATTAAAACAGAACTAAAACAGGATTAAAACAGGACTAAAACAGGACTAAAGCAGGACTAAAGCAGATGTAACCTAGAACTAAACCAGGACTAAAGCAGGACTAAAACAGGACTAAAACAGATCTAAACCAGCACCAAAACAGGACACAAGCAGGACTAAAGCAGGACTAAAACAGGACTAAAGCAGGACTAAACCAGATCTATACCAGGACTAAAACAGGACTAAAGCAGGACTAAAACAGATTAAACGAGGACTAAAGCAGGACTAATCTAGGACTAAAACAGAACACAAGCAGGACTAAAGCAGGACTAAAGCAGGACTGAAACAGATCTAAACCAGGACTGAAACAGGACTAAAACAGGACTAAAGTAGGACTAAAGCAGGACTAAAGCAGGACTAAAGCAGGACTAAAGCAGGACACAAGTAGGACTAACACAGGACTAAAACAGATCTAAACAAGGACTAAACCAGGACTAAAGCAAGTTTAAAGCAGGACTAAACCGGGATTAAACCAGAAGGGATCAATAAACTGGGACTGCTACTATCTCTCAGTCTAAGTCTAAAACACAGATGGAATCTGTCAGGCAAAACTGGACTATTGGGGATTACACGGTTAATCAATAAAATGAATAATCACTTAGACTAATTACAACTTATGTAAGAATGACAACTCAGACACATCAGTGGTTAACAGTTAAAGAAATGGAACCTTCAGAGGAAGAGAAATTATGCAGAGAATAATAAAAATGCATTAGTCTTATACAGAGCTTTAAGACACTATTGTAGCCACAGCTGCCCTGGGACAGACTGATAGATGAGAGGCTGCTAATCTGCACCATCAGCCTCTTCCAGCACAAACACACACATCTCATTCACACTAAAGAGACAATGATGGTTATAATATAGTTAAAAGAATAAAAACCTAAACAGGAAAGTAACATTTGATATTTGTGCTTTTTATTTGCAACAACAGACTCAGTACAAAAGGTGCTTCAGTTTAACCACACAGGGCTCAAAAGACGGACTAGACCAGGTCTAAACCGGTGTGAGATAGTATTTTGACCCCCCAATAAGATTTGGACTCCCCTTACTTTTTTCTTTAGTAGTTACTTATCTGATCATTATTTCTTATGTCATTTACTTTTATTATATATTACTACATATTCACTTTCTTTTAAGATAATTTAAGAAATGTTTTGATGGAGAACGACTTGGTATTTTGTGTAAATGTAGCGTATTGTTAAAATTGCATATACAGAGCAATCTTGTCACTTTTTATATTGTATTTGACATTGCTCTGGTGTTTAGTTTGCTCTGTTCAGATAATCCACATGTAATTTTAAGTGAAGTTATTGATTACAGAAACCATTTAACAAATCTTCTCCTATCATCTACTGAACTACTCTATTGATCTTTATTGATCAGACCTGTCTATTTTAACAAGATTCCAAGTCATTAGACATCACTTTGAACTACTTATCGCATTTTCAGTTAAATATGTGTTTAAACAACAAAGTCATTTTTAATATTCAAAAGTTATAATCAACATAAAAATGCATCTGAGTTCTTCAAAAAACACTTTAAAATATGTCAATATGGTTTCATTTGCAGATATAGTATTAATATTCAAAGTTTTTCTATAGAATTCAAGTTCTTTATTAATAAAATAAAGATTTTCATGGGGGGTTCAATATATCATAATAGGATTCTGACCCCGGGGTCAACATACTATATGGTATGTTGACCCCAGTGTCACCTCACCACGGGGCCAACATCCTATACCACACCCTGGGTCTAAAACACGGAATAAACCCATATCTAAACCGGGTCTAAATCCGGTCTAAGTCTTGCCAGTTGAGTCCATGCAGGTCCATTGGTTCATGCAGTGAACAGCAGCATTCAGAAACACTGAGAAAGTTTCATGCAAAAAACTTCAGAATCCACCAAACGACTCAAACCTAAAACTCAACCAGGAGTAAATCAGGACTAAATCAGGACTAAACCGGGGTCTAAACCAGGGACTAAATCAGGGACTAAACCAGGACTAAACCAGGACTAAACCAGGGACTAAACCTGGATTAAACCAGGGACTAAACCAGGGACTAAATCAGGGACTAAATCAGGACTAGACCAGGATTAAACCAGGGACTAAAACAAGACTAAACCGGGACTAAATCAGGGACTAAACCAAGACTAAACCAAGACTAAACCAGGGACTAAATCAGGACTAAACCAGGGACTAAACCAGGACTAAACCAGGGACTAAACCAGGGACTAAACCAGGACTAAACCAGGACTAAACCAGGGACTAAACCAGGAACAGACCATGACTAAATGGGGACTAAACCAGGACTAAACTAGGGCTAAACCAGGACTAAAACAAGACTAAACCAGGACTAAACCAGGGACTAAACCAGAACTAAACCAGGGACTAAACCAGGACTAAACCAGGGACTAAACCAGGACTAAACCAGGGATTAGACCATGACTAAATGGGGACTAAACCAGGAATTACACAAGTTTTAAACCAGGGACTAAACTCGAACTAAACCAGGACTAAACTAGGGCTAAACCAGGACTAAAACAAGACTAAACCAGGGTCTAAACCAGGACTAGACCATGACTAAATGGGGACTAAACCAGGGATTACACAAATTTTAAACCAGGGAATTAAACCTGAACTACACCAGGGCTAAACCGAGACTAAACCAAGACTAAATCAGGACTAAACTGGGGACTCCACTCAGAGATCAAGAGTCTAACCCACAACCTCGTCACTGAGAGGAGGAGAGGCTACTCTGCCACAGTCCGAGTCGTTTGGTGGTGAGTTTTGATATGTTCGTTCCAATAGTTTGACAGGCACTTTGACTTTAACTTCATGCACCATTTAAAATATCAAATATATTTAAACATCCATAAATCGTCTCCTAAAAATATAAAATGTACTTATATACAGGCCTCATGCATGAAGACATGTGCAGGTACAACACCACTGTCCACATGGGGAAACTACTCCAATCCTAAATATAATCTAATCTGTTTTTTGACATGTAAGATTAAGAAACCACAAGTCGTTTAAAGTTAAACTACTATTTGTGAGGGAGTGTCTGCCACCTGCTTGTCTCCACGGAGCTGTAATTGCTTTCCTGAAATGTTCCACAGTATGGCATTACTGCGTTACAGGTCAAATCTGTGGAGAGGCGAGCCCAGTCAGAATCCATGTTTTTAGAAGGCACTGTGGAAAATTCCAGGCAAGGCAATAATATCTCCATGGAGACAAGCCGACTCTCCACCAGAAAGATTACCTTGAATATAATTGGAAAAACTAAACATTGTGAGAGGTGGTCATGTGACTTTATCAGCCAATCATGTTAAACTTCAGTAACAAAACTCCAGCCGTGTTCATGTTAAATTTTCTGTCACATTCAGGGCAGATTGTGAAGAACTGGCTGATTTTTTGTGCCTTTGGCCTCTGTTCATGTAAACTGTACACTCTATGATTCTGAAACTGCCAATGCAAAACTACTTCGGATTTACACTCATTATAATGTAAAAAAAAAAGTTGATACTCCCTTTGTTTACTCTGCTGCAGCTCCCTCTGCTCCACACACACACACATATTAGTAAATTGTGGCTTTTTTGGTTCATTTCTACCTTTGTAAGAAAATAAATAAATCAATTAAAGAATTAAGACATTATTTTGCAGCCTTCGTTGTGCTGTGTGCCCTGTACTTTACATTTCTACAAACTGAAAACTTTAAATTGTCAGATTTCATATAATTGGAAGCATCTTTCAATGTGGCATTTAAGAATAATGGAAACCCAAGCTCCTGAGTTTGTGTCTATCGTGAAAGAGTCAAAGCTGCTCTCACATTTCAGTCCAACTTTGTGATCCTTCCATTAGAGCATAAAGCATAAAAAGATCAAAATATGAAACAAATGTGAATCCTGATGAATGAATGATCTGAATCCTGATTTTAAAACATAAATCACTAAAGAGTGCAATACTAAGAATACAGCCGCAAGCAGAGATGATCAGCCTCTCTTATCAGTTCCATGTTGTGGTGGGCTGGGAGGGCATCAGGTTTAATCCTCATGTGACGTGCAACCTGCAGACTTGTTGTGCACTAGTTTCTCTCATGTCTTTCCAGTGGCTCCGCCTCTCTGCTGCTGTTCTGATCATAGAGATATAAAGGTTTAAAGAATTGGACTAAGTGAGTGTGACGTCACTCACAGCGTTCGGCTCCAGTTAAATGAAGCTCATCGAGGCTGGCAGCTAAAGTGAATTTGGAGCCGAGTTCCATATTTTGAATTCTGAGTGAGTTTATCATGGCAACCAAAGAGCCATTCAGAAGCGGGACGGTTGAAGGTTAGTTTAGCAAGGCTGTCAATCAAAACTTGCTGCAAATGCTAGCAGGAGTGACCTCGAGGAAAGAAAGTGCCCGATTGTTCTGTTATCAATGTTCATATCTTGGATTCCGGACAAAATTGTGGAATAAAACCCCCAGGATCACGTAGAGCGGGTTAAAATGAATATTTTAAGACCAAAATGGAGCCTGACAGCAGCAAAGACAGAGCGGGGGGACACGTTTTTTCAATACAAAGTGAACTGGGGCGATGGAGCCAGAAGAAGAGCCAAGAGCCCCCATGCTTACTTCCTGTTTACAACATGGCGGCTAGCGGGTGACCTATGTCCATCCATATATACAGATTATGGTTCTGACCCAGCCCACCATTGTCCTCCTCTTCATGCTCCGAGGAGGTGGTCTGGGAGGGCATCAGGTTTAACCCTCGAGCAGAGCGTGCCACCTGCACACCTGCTGTCCTTTAGCCTCTCTCATGTCAGTCCAGTGGCTCTGCTCTTCTTCTCCGCTGCTGTTCTGACCCAGAGCGACCCAGCCCACCATCTGCTTCTTCATGCTCCGCCGATTAAACACAGACACCAGCAAAGTCACATCCGACAGCTGGAAGAGCGCCACCTGCAGCAAACACTGGGTCAGTACAGGTCTCAGGGAGGTGGATAGATGCTAGTGCAGGTTTAGTGCAAGTGGAGTCTGATTTAGTCCTGGTTTAGACCTGGTTTTGTCCTGGTTTTGTTCTGGTTTTGTTCTGGTTTTGTCCAAGTTTAGCCCTAGCTTTGTACTGGTTTAGTTCTGTTGTAATCCTGGTTTAGTTCTGGTTTACTCCTGGTTTAGTTCTCATTTAATCCTGGTTCAGTCTTGGTTTAATCCTGGTTTAGTCCTGGTTAAATCCTAGTTCAATCTTGGTTCAGTCCTGGTTCGGTCCTGATTTAGACGTAGTTTAGACCTGTTTTTTCCCCAGTTATACCTGGTTTTGTACTGGTTTACTTCTGGTGTAGTTCTGGTTTAGTCCTGGTTCAATTCTGGTTTAGCCCTGGTACAGCCCTGGTTTAGTTCGGTTTAGTCCTGGTTTAGTCCTGGGTTACTTCTTGTTTAGTTCTAGTTTAACCCTTGTTCAGTCCTGATTTAGTCCTGATTTAGACCTGGTTTTGTACTGGTTTAGTCCTGTGTTAATCCTGGTCTAGCCTTGGTTCAGTCCTGGTTTAGTTATTGCTTAGTCCTGATTTAGTCTCATTTTAGTCCTGATTTAGTCTTGGTTTAGTGCTGGTTTAGTCTTGATTTGGTTCTGGTTTAGCCCTGGTTTGGGCCTGATTTAGTTCTGGTTTAGTCCTGTTTTAGTTCTGTTTTAGACCTGTTTTAGTCCTGATTTAGTCCTGTTTTAATCCTGGTTTAATCCTGTTTTAGTCTTGTTTTAATCCTGGTTCAGTCCTGGTTTAGTCCTGGTTAAATCCTGTTTTAGTCCTGGTTTAGTCCTGTTTTAGTCCTGTTTTAATCCTGGCTTAGTCCCGTTTTAGTCCTGGTTTAAACCTGTTTTAGTCCTGGTTTATTACCTGGAACATAAATGTCTCTTTGTACACAGGGTTGGGCTGTCCACGGCGCACAGAGGTTTTACAGCGAGAGATCTCCTGCCCCACAGAGTTCAGCAGAGACAGACGCGCGTAAGTGTCTGAAAAATACACAAATATTTAAGGTCCTTTTCACAGATGTTCCTGCGCTCTGTCAGTGGCACTCGATTCAGTTCTGTCAATCATCATTTCATCTTTGCATTGTTTTCCTTATGACCTCTTGTATACATCTGACATATTTTATTTTACTTGTACATATACATTTATATAATTCTGCCTGCCTTTGTCGCCACTCTCTTGCTTGTTTGCTACTTATTTAGAATGTATTATTACTACTATTTATATTTTTGCTCTTAGTTATTATATTATATTGTGATGTGTGAGCTCCTGGGTCCAAATCATTTCCCTTGTGGATCAATAAATTCTAAGTTAACTTTACCTTTAGGTCTGTTCACATGCACCGAGCATCATTCACCCCAGACACCATGAGCAACGTGAGAGGCATCAATAGATCACAAATCTGTTTCCATGACAACGGACTTCTAGTGAACAGTTGGGTTCACACCAGCCAAATGCATCACGGTGTATGTAAAAATGTTAATATTGAAAACATCACCACTGCAAACCAGGTTCAGTTGTGATCATAGACTTATGGACCAATTATAACAGCTGAATATGGACGATAAAGCCGTTTTAAAGCCTCCAGAGAAACAGTGCACTTAATGTCAACTAAACTTTTCTCAGATACTCGACTGACAAGAATGGGATCCCTGTTTCCCACCAAAAGAAAGCACGGTTTAGGAACATTAAGACAAAAGTTGACGGGGAAGAATAAAGAATAAGGTGAATAAAGAAGTGAACTAAGGGATTGTGACATCACCCATAGCATCCAGCTCCAGTCAAATGAAGCTCACCGAGGATGGGAGTTATAGGAGAGAATTTGGAGCCAAGTTCCATACTAGGAATCGGAATTGATTTACGGACCAAATAAAGTAATAAAAACACCAGGATCATGCAGAGCGGGTTATGAACATTTTAAGACCAAACTGACAAGCCTGACAGCAGCAGTTACAGAGAGAGGATTTGTAAGTCTGTATTGTTAATGTTCATGGGACTAATAGTAAAACACATCTATTTGTTTAATAATAAGATAGTGAATGAGTGTTTGAGTGTTTGTACCTGGGGGTCGATTGAGACTGAGGTTCCTAAAATGGCTCCCTTTCACCACCTCCACCGACATGCGTCCCGTCGTGGCGTTGTAGGACAGGCCCAGTAACAGCTCCGGAGCGCCTCCATGTGTCAGAGACTGGGTAGAGGAGGCACTGTCTGGGGAGAGGGACATCTGCGAGCCCATACTCTGGAAGCAAAGGACCTGGGTTAGACCCGGTTTAGTCCTGGTTTAGTCCCGGTTTCTGTCTGTCTGTTTCAGTCCTGGATAAATCCTGTTTAAATCCTGATTTAGATTTGCATCAGTCCTGGTTTCATACAGATTTAGCCCTCGCTTAGATCTGTTTTAGTTCTGCTTAAGTCCAAGTTCTGCCCTTGGTTTAGTCCCTCCCTGTTATAGTCCCAGTTTAGTCTTGATCTTGAGCTAGTCCTGGTCAGGATCTTAGCTGGAGGTCTAGTACCTTTATATTACTCCTGGGCTGCAGTAGCAGAGTGGTTGATAGAGTCCCTCCTTCTGGGTCCAGCTCTGAAAGCCTGAGGATCTTTTCTCCCATCATTCTCTCTCTGGACATTCTGCCCCCTAGAGCATAGAGCCGGAAGCGCAGCGCCGAGACGTGGAGGTCACTGGGCTCAATACGATTAAACCTGGACACAAATACACACAGATTTAGTCCTGGTTAAACATGGGTTCAGTCCTGGTTTAGGCCAAAGTTTGGTCCTGGTTTAGCCCTAGTTCAGTCCTGGTTTAGTCCAGTTTTGCTCTTGGTTCAGTACTGGTTCAGAACTGGTTTTACTCCTGGTTTAGTCCCAGTTTAGTCTGGTTTTGGTTCTGCTTTGGTTCTAGTTTAGTCCTGGTTTAGTGATGGTTTAGTCCATGTTTGGTTCTTCTTCAGTCTTGGTTTGGTCCTGCTTTAGTCCTGGTTTAATCATGGTTTAGTCCTGGTTTAGTCCGGGTTTGGTCCTGCCTCAGTACTAGTTCAGGCCCTCATCTCGTCCCTGGTTCTTACCTGAACGTCTCATTAAAATCTGGACTGTCCCCTTTCTGCACGGAGCTCTTGTGTCTCTGCTTCTTGGCGGGCAGTAGGACCATGTGGATCTGCCAGGAATCCATTCCGGTTCTGGTTTTATCAGGCAGATCTCGGACTCCAAGAACCAACACCGAGACTCGCTCCAGGTCTGAGGAATAGTCCAGGTTTAAGATCAAGTCTGCACACTTAGACACAGGTAAACGAGGAGACGAGGAGAGGTCCAGAGGGAGATCCAGGACTGGGGGCTGCTCCTGCTGTAAGAGGAGAGACATGATTATAATTTTACTTCCTGGTTGGACACAGGCAGCGTATAGTTAAGTTTTGTTTCTTTCACACATGTTTGAATAACTCTTTATTATTAGTCTGTCTACATCTCCAAAGCTCAAAATGCTCTGCTCCACCTTGTGATGTCATGTGATGGTATTTTTCAAGTTAACAACTCCTTTTACCTTTTGTTCAGAAAAGATTGGTAATTCCATGGCTGAAATTATCCAAATGATTCTAGTGGTGTGTGGAGTTCAAAGATAGATATGTTGCAAATTTGCAGCCACGGTGGAAAAAAAACACACGAGTGCTTGAAAAAAATGTGTACAATTGTGGATTGAAATTTTCTCTTGTAGAAAATATTTACACACACGGGAGAAAAATATGAATAAATGTGTAGATTGATATTTGCATGAATAGAGTGCCAGCTATAATAACAGGTACCACCACAACTCAGCAACTGCAACTTTTCAAATGTGTCCCAGCAGTTTCAAATATGTGCGCCTTGACACAACTTGCAATGTGCATGCAGCAAAACCAATTTGCAGTGCAATTTATAGAGAGCTGGGGGAAGGGGTTGACCAGTTAGAAAGGGGGAAGATGAAGAATCCATGTATCATTCGTTCATTTGTTTTTCAAAGTAAAACCAAAAATAAGAAAATGAAAACAACTATTTTCTTCATTATTTGTCTCCAAAACCAACACTTTTGCACTACATAGGGACTGAAGCAGGACTAAACCAGGACTAAACCAGAATTAAACCAGGATTAAAACAGGCCTAAACCAGGTCTAAACTGGTCTCAGTCCTAGTCCCAGTCTCAGCCCTGATCTTGTCTTGTTCTTGTCCAGGTCTGGTCCCAGTCTCAGTCCTGTATGTGTGTTTTCTGTTTGAGAGAACAACTTATATGACTAAATATGCAGAGTTTGTGTGTTAAACATGTGTGAAAGAAACAAACACAACTCCAGGTCTGTTTGTGATGACTACATTATAACAGTTCAAAAAATAGTGCAATATGGGACCTTTAAGATCTAGAAATATAATGTCAAATTTGTGTGGACTTCTGTTTTCTGTGGTCACGAAAATGTATTTGTTTTGTTTATCATCTGTTTGCTACTGTGCTTTAAAAACAGAATGAAGAAATCTGGGAGCCTGTTCAATCTCATTTAAGGCAATAGGCAAAGATTATATAACTCTTCTTATTAAAGTGGGGCTTCTCATAATGTAATATCAGAGGTGCAATTATTTGCACAGTAATTCCTGCTGAAACTGTATTGTCCCTGAGGCAGATCTGAACAACACCATTGTTAAACATTTTATATTTACACAGAGATAAAACCAACACGCTGTAATACTTCTGACTCCAGAGGCTGCAGAGACTATGAACTTAATGGACCTATATTATGTTATTTTCTGATCTGTGTTCTAATGTTGTTTCCTCATCACAAACAGACCCGGAGTTGTGTTTTGTTTCATTCACACATTTTTAACACACAAACCCTGCTGATATAGGCCCTCTAACTGTTTTTCTCTCAAACAGAAAACACTCAAGTGCCCCATTGTGTTTTCTATTCACTAGAATTATTTGGAGAAATTCAGCCCTGCAATTTCCAATCTCTACTAAACTAAAGGTAAAAGGAGCTGTTAACTTTAAATCTACCACTTCATGACATCATAGGGTGGAACAGAGAGTTCTGAGGTTTGGAGATGTTCAGTTTTTAAAAAGAAGAAATCAGGTACAGTTCCTTTACTATTCTGATACACTTCATTGAAATTTGACATTTGCAAAACAGGTTACATAGAATCCCAAACATCTCCCAAAAGCAAATTTTACCGTCAAAACACTCAGACTGTGAACATGTGTTTTCTGTGTCATTCATTTGACAGAGCAGGAAAGAGTGGAGAGAGTGGAAAGAGCCTAAGAACTGTGCACACTGATGAGAAATATCAGGCCCTGTCCTCTGTTGTGGCTTAAGCTTCATCAAATGATTTTTAATGAGCACTAAAATAGTTCTGATACTTGCAGTACCTCTGGGCTCCATGTGGAGGAGCTGTCATCATCTGTCTCCAGGGGTTTGCAGCTCTAAGTCCTCGCTCCCGTCTGCTTCCTGTCTCACAGCACTCGGACTTGAACTCTGGTTAGACCGGTTCAGGTTAGATCTGGACTGACTCAGGGTGGTTTGGTCTGGGTTGGACCGGTTTAGACTGATTTGGTCTTCCTGTGCGGACCCTTTGCTCCTCTTGGACTGAGACCTGGTACTAGTCCTGGTCTGGGTCTCTTCTGCGGCTGCAGAGAGGGGGTCTTGGGTCTGAGGAGCCGAGTCTGGAAAAGAAAGTACAGAAATTTAACAAATGCAATATGATTATTCACAATTTAAAGCAACAAAGTGCAACTTTCTTGAGGTGGTACATCACCTGCATGACTCCATGGAAAAAGAATATTAAAACCATACTTCGGAACATTCTCCATAGAGACAGATACCATCTATGTCATACTGTGGAAAATTATAGTCAAGCAACATTTCCATGGAGACAAGCAGGAAGAGGTGACGCACACACAGTTTCATTATTTTCTATGAACGTGCACCAGGCACACACCGGGCACACACCGGACATACACCGGGCACACACCGGGCACACACCGGACATACACCGGACATACACCAGGGCACACACCGGGCACACACCGGACATACATCGGGCACACACCGGACATACACCGGGCACACACCGGCACACACCGGGCACACACCGGACATACACCGGGCACACACCGGACATACACCGGGCACACACCGGACATACACCGGGCACACACAGGGCACACACCGGACATACACCGGACATACGGGCACACACCGGACATACACCGGGCACACACCGGACATACACCGGGCACACACCGGACATACACCGGGCACACACCGGGCACAATCGATGCATGTCTGGTTCGTGGAGATGTAAGCCCGCTCATAGTAAAGATGCTTACTATGATTTTTAGTGAAAAACACAATCAAAATGAAAACCTGATTTTAGCTTAGTCTATTTTTGGCAAAAGTTACATACTGTGGCTTTAACTTATTGTAATTAGGGCTCCACAATATATCACTAAGTATTGGTTAGGTAATAATTAACAACAACAAACTTATTTTCAAACAAATATTGCAGTAACACCAAGGACAAAATGTATGTTTTAAATGAAAACATAGAAGGCAGATTTGATCGATGATTTTGCTGCTAACCCGGTAGTTTAGACCTCTACAAACATGTTCTGAAATACATGGGATACTTGGATTAGGTAAAAGTTCAGATGTCTCTATCAAATGTTAATCTTTTTTCTAAACTGAAACCTGGTCTCAAATTGGACTAATTGAGGACTAAATCAATCTAACTCAAGACTAAACCAGGACTTAATGTGTTCTTCGTGGTGTAATCTTGTGGTAAATGAGCCAGTAATCGCCTCCATCCTCCTCTAATAAAACCATCCTTTCTTTGTTTATATGAACGCACGCTGAGAACAGAGATCGCCATGGAAACAGCATCCCGGGATCTCCATGGTAACCGCATCCTGACTCATCGCCGCGTGAGAAACAATCACACTGAGAATAAAATGGGTTTGGACGCACTGACCCTGAAGGATTCTAGGTACTGTTTAGTGGTTTTGAAAGAGACAAACACTGACAAGGACTAAACCAGATCTAAACCAGGACTGAGTCAACCGGGACTTTATTTGGACTAAGTAAGTACTACACAAAGTCTGGACCAGCAATAAACCAAGATAACAGACTAAAGCAGATGTAAAGCCATGACTGAGACAGGTCTAAACCAGGACCAAACAAGAATTACACCAAGTCAAAACTAAGTCAAAACCAGGTCTGGATCAGGCCTAAACCAGGTCTAAGTCAGGTCTAAATCAGGTGAAAACCAAGTCTAAACCAGGTCTAAACCAGGTCTAAACCAAGTCTAAACCAGATCTAAATCAAGTCTAAACCAGGTCTAAATCAGATCTAAATCAGCTCAAAACCAGGTCTAAAACCAAGTCAAAACCAGGACTAAATCAGGTCAAAACCAAGTCTTAACCAAGTCTAAACCAGATCTAAACCAGGTCTAAACCAGGTCTAAACCAGATGTAAATCAAGTCTAAACCAAGTCTAAACCAGATCTAAACCAGGTCTAAACCAGATCTAAATCAGCTCAAAACCAGGTCTAAACCAAGTCAAAACAAAGTCAAAACCAGGTCTAAGTCAGGTCTAAATCAGGTCAAAACCAAATCTAAACCAGGTCTGAATCAGATCAAAACCAGGTCTAAACCAGGTCAAAAAACCAGGTTTAAACCAGGTTTAAACCAGGTCTAAACCAGGTTTAAACCAGGTCTAAACCAGGTCTAAACCAGGTCTAAACCAGGTCTAAACCAGGGCTAAACCAGTATTGTCTCTTACCTTCCATGTCAGAGGGCTCAGTGCTTGCCTCTTCGTGGTCAGACAGTCTGGAGAATCTGTGTCTTTTGTTCAGGGACTTTTGCGACTGTGACTGCGTTAATTCAGAGTTAGCAACATTAGCTCCCACGCTAGCCACTACGCTAGCCCCCACGTTAGCCGCTGCAGAGTTTTTAAAGCTCTGGGATCGGGACACAGAGATCTCAAACTGCTTCAGGATTTCCGCCTCGCTGTCTGACGAACTGGAGCCATAATCGTCCTCCTCGTTCCCAAAAGTCTTCACTGGAAAAACAGGACAAAATCAGGGAAAAATCAGGGATGAAGACAAGGAAAAACTGGGGAAAAATCAGGAATGAAACAAAAAGTCAAGTTAGAAATGCATCAGAAATAGGCAACACTACCCTATGACGTAAATTACATGTTATCAGTGCTTATTTATCTATTGTTTAGCCTTGTTTTGTGTGTATGGACTTTAAAAACACAGAGGAGCACCACCTTATGACATCATACAGTGGGACCAAGCACCTCAAACAGTCAATTAGTTAGATTGTTATCTTATTTCTTCGGTCATTTATCATCGTCATAGTTGTGGTGTTTCAAACCTTTAAAGCTGCACTGTGTAACTTTTCTATTAAGAGCTCTGCAATCTGCTTGTCGCCATGGAGATATTATTGGGAATGCTCCACAGTATGGCATTAAAATCTATCAATAGACTATGTTTCTTCTGTCTATTTTCATGACAGCAATTTCCATTCGTTCTCTCTCTCCCTTAAAACACACACTCTCACACCCATGTAGACAAACCCTGCAGGAACTACTGAAGTGTTTTGCCCAAGGACACAACAACAGTGTCCAGAGGTTAGAACTGGAATTGAACCACAGACTGTTCGGACAGACTTACGAGGATCTTCGTCTGACTGGACGCTACAACAGGAAAAACATGAACCCATTTGAAGGAAGAACGACACTGAAAAAAGGTGATTTCCTGTAAATGCAAAAATGAGACTGACTGTAGGAGCTGATTTGAAATATAATTGACTATTTTGTAGAACTAAAACAGGACTAAAGCAGGATTAAACCAGGACTGAACCAGGAATAAACCGGGACTAAACTAGGACTAAACCAGGTCTAAACCAGGACTGAACCAGGACTAAACCAGGACTGAACCAGGACTGAACCAGGACTAAACCAGGACTGAACCAGGACTAAATCAGGACTGAACAAGGACTGAACCAGGTCTGAAGCAGGACTAAACCAGGACTAAACCAGGAGTGAATTAGGACTAATCCGGACTCCAAGTCCACTGATGAAATTTTCAAACAATATATGTCTAATCCAGGTTAATCTTTACGACTAAACAAGAACTATCCAGGGCTAAAACAATATAAAACAGCACTAAACCAGGACTTACCCAGGTCTTAAATAAACTAGGACTATAGCAGGTCTAAACCAGGACTAAACCAGGACTTAATGTGGTCTAAAACAGGTAAATATAAAGTACAATCCTCAAAACTGGACTAAAGCAGGACTAAACCAGAACTAAACCAGGTCTAAAATAATACAAAACTAGATCTAAATCAGGACTAAGCCAGGTCTAAAGTAAAATAGGACAATAGCAGGCCTAAACCAGGACTAAATCAAGAATAAACCAGGTCTAAATCAGGACTAAACAGTGACTAAAAAAAGACTAAACTAGGTTTAAACCAGGACTAAACCAGGTCTTACCTTTTAGGCTCAGAGTGGTGAATGTTTGCTTTGAAATGTTTGTAACTATGAGGCCCCTCCTACGGACACACTTTGGTCAAACAAAAAGACGAAACACAAACCTCATATGTCACTGCAGTGTTTAAATAAAGACCACAAGTTAAAAATATATATAATTTCTCTTAATAATTGTTCCACAGTGGGGCTTTAATGTAGTGTTCTACTCAGAAACATCCCTGGAGTTGTTTTGTTTCAGTCACACATGTTTCAGTAATCCTGCAGTTATGTCTCCCTTTGCAGAGCTCACAATACTCTGTTACACCAGATGATGTCATTAGGTGGTATTTTCAGGCATTCTGTGTTTCCTAAATCCACGTGTATTCATTGGCAAGATCAGGGCTTTTTTTGTTTACTATGGAAATGGTCTTTGATTGAGTTTGTTGTGGAGGCTGCCTTCTCGTGGAGCTCAGGATTATTTTTGATACCTTTTTCAAGTTTATTTTCATATTCTAGAGTTGAATGCTCATATATTAAAATCCTGTGTGTAATCATAAAAGTAATCCAAGTTTGAGAAGTCTGTTTCTCTGTTTCATTAATGTGACATGCATTGATAAGGTTTAAATCCAGACTCAAAATGGTTCTTTTTAGCTGTGTATATGACTGAAAGGTTTTTATTCCACACTCCTCTCACTTCTCTCATAATGTTAAATTCCTGATGATTACTTTTGTTTTGATTTGTTGATATTGTGATTTTAATGTAGTTCTTATTCTGTAAAGCACTTTGAATTACTTTGTGTACTAATTGTGCTATATAAATAAACTTGCCTTGCCTTTGTAACTAAGTAAATAAGATAGAAATAAAGTTTACATGTAGTCCGCAAGCCAAACCACAAGCCAAACCACAAGCCAAAATACCCTCCTGTTGTCATAATAGAGCCAATGCCACTTCAGATCCTGCTGTGACTGTTCTGTGTGTATCCAGACACTGTGGGGGGGGCTGTGGTGCAAACGTACAGACAAGATGTTCGATTGTCTTTGTACTGTTTGTCCAAAGGAGAATAGAAGAAAACATATCTCCTGATCCCCACGTCAGAGATCTATGACAATGATGACGGCCACTGTAAAGAAAACCTGCTTCACAGACAAAGAAGCTTGGACTAAAACTATAGACCATATACACTGTATGAATGGACAGAGTTGACGCTCTAGCCGCATTCTGAATAGGAAGTTCACACGCGGGCAACATCACACCGTCAGGGAACGTTGATGACATCAGCTGCAAAATCAGTGCAGATTCTCCCATGTGCTGATGTCACATGAACCCACCCAATACTTCATGGATCCAAAACTCTGGAACACAGGTGCCTTTGTACATTACACACTTTTCAATAAGTCACTTTCGTTTTTTAAATCATCTTTTAAAACTCACCTGTTCAGTTTTGCGTTTCACTGTGATAAATGTTGACTTTTTAGTGTCTGGTGTGTTTTTATGTGTCTGTTTATAATTCTAGTTGTGTACTGCTCTCTGGTCAACTGTGTTATTTTTTAAAGTGTGTTAGAAATAATGTTTTGCTTGACTCTTACCCAGTGTGGAGCGGTTGCCAGTTCGATTCCTCTTGCGTCTCTGGCCCCGGGGCTCGAGGCAGGGCAGTCCCCCCACCTCAGAGAAACAGAGCTTCTTGTTGATGAAGAGGAAGAGGAGGGCCAGCGCGATGATGAAGATGCCGACAGCGGAGAGGAAGCCCAGAGCCTCTGGAGTGACTGGCAACACGAGTGGACAGAGGACAACACAGTGACCAGACCAGACCAGCAGACAGCCTCACAGATAAACAACAAGTAAACCACAACAAAAACGTCAACAGAGATGGAGGAACGCAGAGGACGAGGAGAGACCAGGAAAACTCATAAGAACACTGCAAAAGAAATACAAAACAGAGGCAGTTACAGAGGTCAGCGTTCACAGAGGTCAAGGTCATTTGGGTCAACAGATTCTCCCTTATGTACTCTGGGAGACCTTGCCCCCAGCAGGAAAACAAATAGATTTGCAAATTCCTTTATTCCCTCTGTCGTTCGGCTCCTAAACACAGAAGAGAAATAGACAGAGCCAAGTGTCGTTTTTATCCTGTTGTTTACTGTTCTAATGTTGTTGTTCTGTTTTGTATCTGGCTTTTGCACCTTATGCCTCATTTGCACTAATGCTCAGCTCTGATGCCCATAATTATACGAGCACCTGACCTGTGGGAAATGTGTGTGTTTTTTTATGTTGTAGTCTGTGACTGCAAACAGAATTGTCCCTCAGGGATAAATAAAGTTTTCTACACTTTCATAATTAATCTGACTAGTAGCGCTACAAGATAAATGGCAATCAGACTGAAATCACCATTTAAAGCAAATCACCAAGATTACAATTTTTAAAGGTGCATTGTGTAACTTTTCTGGTGTAGGGTCCATCAAATGCTTTTTTGCTGTGTCTTAAACTTAAAGTTACAGGTCAGATCTGTCACAGTTCTGCCTTTTTGTTTACATGTTTTCCCCAGTTCAGTTCCATTTCTCAGTCTCTTCCGGTCCTCCTTTTGTTACCTCCCTCCTTTACCTGCAGCTGCCCCTCATTCCGTAATCAGCCCAGGCCAGTCTATATATACTCCCTCTGCTCATTCAGTCTTTACCAGATTGTCAACCTGTCAAGACATGGAGTCAAGCTTTCCCTGAACCTCTGTATCTCTATACCCTGTTGTTTGCATTTAGTGCAATTCTGATTTATTTCCTTGTTGGCCATACCTGCTTCTGTGTTTATTTCCCAGTTTCTAAATGATATTTTTGTTCACGTTTGACATCATATACTCCTTTGTTGTTGTCAGTCTGATTTATTAAATACTGTATAAACATATTTATCATTACCTGTTAAAGGATACTTTCTGTTATTCAATTAAGCCTTTGTCTGCACGATTGTGTTGCATTTGAGTCCAAGTTACCTGCGATAAGATCTGTGGAGCAGCGACCCCACTCATAGTCAGAATGTCTATTTTTCTAGGTATTTTTGAGCTTTAAAACCACCTGTAATTGAATAAATGTAAGATTGAACTGTTTAATGACATACTGTGTAACATTCTAGGCAAAGCAATGACATAGCCATAGAAACAAGCAGGTGACAGACCCTCCATCAGAAAAGTTACACAATGCAACTTTAAGTATCATTTCCTCCACTAAGAAAATGTCTTGTCTTATTCTGTATAAAAAATGCTAACCCTGTAGTTTAGATACAAGCATGTTCTGAAATGTGATTCTTGTATTGGTCAAGTCTTTTTTTGTCAGTTATTCTGGAAAATGTGAAATTCGAACAAAATCCTTTTTATTCAATCATAAATCACAAGTCTAATCACAATTGCAATGTTTGTCAGAAAAAAATCTAAATTCTACCAGTCTTATTGCCGAATGTCTCCATGGAGATGTTATTGCAGTGCCTATAATGTTTCACAGTCTGACATTAAACTTATCCATCTCTAGTAAGACAAGCAGGTAACATCACCAGACAAATTACAGGTCAGATATATGGGAAGGCGAGCCTTCTCACAGTATGATGAGAATGTATGATGTCAAGATTATTAAAGCACAATTAGTGACAAGGTTCATTCTCTCGCTGTATTTATCCAAACACACCATAACATCTGGGAGGGAATCTGACTCACCACAACATCTGTAGAAACATTTGACTTGCCCTTAACAGTAACCCTAACAAACTAAGACTACAGGGATACAGCAGGATGGGAGGGCATCTGACACACAGAGCAACAGGAAGCCTTTTAACTACAGGCACTCAAGTTACATTCATGCATGAAGCAGGAGTGCCCTCTTGTGCTTGTACTCAGTATTACAGTTGACTACATCTGATCTTATCTGTATCTTGCTTAAAACAAACAGAATTTAGAGAATAAACATTGACGTGAATCTTGGAAACAGACTAGAACTGTGTGACCGAGACTAACCAGGATCAAACCAGGATCAAACTAATGTGAACTAGTCTTGTCCAGATACTTTATTTGGATACTAAGAAATAGACTCGATAATCAAGACTGATTCTGATACCACAAAAACTTAGAATATGATTCCCAATGTTAAATCTTAGTAGTTTCTTTTCTATTCCCATGTGGTCTTGTGTATAATGTGTATAATCCCCCAATGGTCCATGGGTGTACACTAGTTTATGCTCGCTTATATTTGTTCTGATACAGCTCAACATCATTCTAAAGACATTCAGGAAAGGTTCATTTTTGATGTATGAATGTGACTTTAGTACCAATACCTACTCAAATTAGTATCTAGTTTTGATACTAGTTTTAATATAGTTTAGTATCATGTTTTCTTTTGACAACTCTAACAGGAGTAACATAAGTGATAAAAAGTAAAAGTTCAATTCGAACTAACCAAGGAATCAGTCGAAGAGAGTTAAACAAGACCAAAGACAAAGGAATATACCAGAACTTAGCTAGGACAGAACTAAACCAGGACTAAAACAGGTCTAAAGCACAGATTAAATTTAAACTTCAAAACTTACACTGAGTTTCAGCTTTCTCTCCAACCTCCATCACCGATCGGGCATTTTAAATGAATTTATTAGTTAAATTTTAGTCCTTGGTCTCTGTTTCCAGTTGAGATCTGGGTCTAGTCCTGAGTCCTAGTTGTAATCCTGTCTTAGATCCTGGTCTGGATCCTGGTCCAGTCCTGCTCTCTGGTCTGGATGTTGGCTCTTGCAGCTGTCACTCAGCTCTGGTTGTTTTCTCATTAACTTCAGACTTTCCTGTTCACAGAGGAGGAGGCGTGCCCGGTCTTTGGTCCTGGTTTACATCCTGGTCCAGTAGAGGTCCTAGCCTCTGGTTCAGACCTGGTTTCTGGTCCAGTCTCTGATCTGGTTTAGATCTTGGTCCAGTTCTGGTCTCTGGTCTGGATGTTAACGCTCAGGTATCACTCAGCATTAGTTGTTTTAACTTTACACTTTCCTGTTTTCAGAAGAGGAGATGCGGTCCAGTTCTAAGACATGGTTGAGGTCCTGGTCTCTGGTCTAGTCCTGGTCTCTGGTTGAGATCCTGGTCTGTGGTTTGGATGTTGACTCTCATGTGTCACTCAGCACTATTTGTATTAGCGTTAGACTTTCCTGTTTTCAGAAGGGGAGACGTGCTCCAGTCCTGAGTCATGGTTTAGATCCGACTCCAGTCCTGAATCATTGTTTAGATCCTAGTCCTGGTCTCTGGTCTGAATGTTGTCTCTTACATGTCACTCAGCTTTAGTTGTTGTTAACATTAGCTTGAGTCTTTCCTGCTTCCAGAGAGGGAGGCGTGGTTCAAACGCCAGTAAAAAACACAAAGGACACAGTGAAGTTTGATCTGGATTAGACTGTGTTTAAACAAAGAGGAAGGAACAGGAAGAAATGTTCAGCAAGTCCGAAAGATAACATTTTATATGAGATTACTGCTAAGATAAGATCTAGTTTTTAGCATAAAATAAGGTACAAAATCACATTACAATAGGGCTGCAAGGTCAATTCACAATCAAATCGAAATCACAATTTGAATGGATGCAATCAGCAAATCACAACGTCTGCAATTTCTGAATAATTTCCTCTACAAACAACAAAATCTCTGGTCTTATTCTGCATAAAAACTGTTCACCCTGTAGTTTAGATCTGTACAAGCATGTTCTGAAATGTGATTCTTGTATTAGTTTGTATGTTTGTCAGTTCAGAATTCAGTGTTTTTGTCAATTCTGGTCTTTAAAATGTGAACTTTGAACAGAATCCTAAATTAAAACAAATCGTAAATCTAATCAGTCACTTTTCCCCCAAACTTTGCAGCTATTACAAAAATGTCTCCTCTGCATTTGACCCATCCTTCAGTGTCTCTGGATTAAACATGGTAACCCAGTTTATTGTGCATGTTCCAGCAGCATTTATTTAAAGGTTGTATAGAGGATTTTTTAAGGAAATAGAAATACAGCGACGGTCCTTTTTTCAAATGTTGGGAATGTTGTCCACCTCCCTCAGTAGAAACACCTCCTCCTGCCTCCTTACTCTAGAAATCACGCTTGTTTACAGTCAGTGCGAGTTCAAAATTACTGTTGAAGTGACATGTCTAGAAATAATTTAGCGATAATTTGCTTCAGTCACACAATCGCTGGAAGCAATCTCCAAGAATCACCTCAGTTTGGCTTTGCTCCTTTTCCCCTTCTCTTCTTCTTTCAGAGACCTCAAAAACTGACTTTCTTTTGCGGCGAACTGGTCATGGATTCTCGTCTGCTTTGTGTGAATTACAAGGAAGCTACAGTTTGAAAAAGCCTCTCAGAATTGCTGCATAAACCACATAATCCCCGGGTGCTGCGAGTCAGTTACACTAGAAACGTAGGGAGTTTGATTGACACCCTAACAGCCAATAGAAAATGAGGCAGCCTCGTTATCTATTGGCTGATGTTTATCTGGCCTCACTATGTCCACAGTTGATAGATTTTTCATTCTTTTTTATTTTTGGTCACCATTATTACAAGCCTGCTGCGTCTCTGTAATGGTATTTTAAACTTTCAATGACAATTTGAAACTAAAAAAATCCTCGATACAATCAATCAAAATATACAATTCAGATCAATTTAGACTATTGCGCTAATTTACAGCTGGAATATGTGACCGTGGAAGGACTGTGCGAAGGGTCCACCACCTGCTTGTCTCCATGAGCATCATATTATAGATAAAAGTTGAAAGGTCTAATATTACTCAAAATGTATTCTTGTGAGCTTTAATCCACACTATGATGCTGTACTCTCATCAAAACATCTGGAGTTGTCTTTTGTTTCATTCACACATGTTTGAGTAACTCTTTTTATTATTAGTCTGTCTACATCTCCAAAGCTCAAAATGCTCTGTTCCACCTTGTGATGTCATGAAGCTGTAGTTTTCAAGTGACCAGCTCCTTTTACCTTTTGTTCAGTAGCAATTGGCAATTCCAGGGTTGAAATATCCAAATAAATGAAGATATCCAAATAAATAAAAAATAATGAAGGTGTATGGTGTTTAAAAACATGGTGGAGCACTTCCTTTATTACCACATGACATCACAAGGTGGAAAAGAGTGTGTTAAAAATGTGTGAATGAAACAAAATCCAACTTCAGGTCTACAGACATACACAATAACAGAACAAAGATCAGAACAAAGCCTAATAGGGGCTTTAATGCTGTACTATGGAACATTCCAGATAAAGCTGCATATCGACGAGGACAAGCAGGTGGTAGATCGCAAAAGTTACATAGTGTACCTTTTAACCAACACTAAGCCACAAATGAACCAGGACTAAAATAAGGCTAAAGCAGCAATGCACCAAGATTGAGAGTAAACCAGGACTAAACCAGGACTAAACCAGGACTGAACAAGTCTAAACCAGGGACTAAACCAGGGACTAAACCAGGACTGAACCAGTTGCAACGCCAAGTTCAAATCTAGGCCAAGGGAAGATATCAGTTGTGGGTTATCTGCAAACCCAACATACCCTGAATTACACCACGCGTCGAGGAAATACCATTATAATTACGCACAATTCCCAAACACATCTATTTAAATCATTACCAAAGCCTCGCGATCCTTATTAACATACAGATTATTTATCGATAACCTGCTGCATCATTGGCTCGTAATAAAATAGGCCAGGAGATCGCGCACCAACAACGCCAGAGAACGGCGGATTTAAACGCATTTTTCGGTCATTTTTGTTGGATAAATCATGATAAAAATGGTTGAAATTCTGTGTATGCCGTGTGTTGGAGGTAGTACTCACTGTCCGAGGCCATGGCTGCTCTCACGGCCGAACACAGCGGCTTTGGAGCGGTGTAGCATCCCTGTGTCTCCCGCTGCAGCCTCCGGTGCCTCCGCCTGTCCGCGAGAGGAGCTCCGGAGACGCGAGGATGGGAGAGGCAAGGACCGGGGGAGGACCGGGGAGATAAGGCTAAACTGGATAAAAACGGGGCAAAATCACACTCAAACTGGGCTAAGAAACAACTTTTGTTCACCAAATTTTAGAATTCAGTTTTAGATGAAGAGCAGACTCACTGATGTTGAAGCCCTCAAATAATATTATATTTAAAGCCAAAATATGTCATTTTTTGCAAATAAATAGATCAAATAAAAGCACGTGCTTTCATTTGGCTGTGTTCATTGCACTGACAAAAGCAGTAAAACGTCTTTAGTTTGGGCAGGTTTGCATCTCCACAAACCTGACTCATAGGACTCAAAAGGAGGAGAACCTTATGTTTCCATGGAAATGTTCCTTTGTTCCACAGTATGGCAAGTAATTGCAGTAAATACAGTGATATAAACCACAAATCAACTCAATCATCTACATTTTGAAAGTCAGAATAAAACTTTGTGAAAATCAGACTAAGCCTGGGTTAAAAAATGTTCTATTTACGAGATTCTATAATTCAACTTCATTCTGTGGGGGATTCACTGTTTTTCAAATAAATTTTTTCACCTGACAACCATCTTGCTTGTGTGTTTAAAAGTCTATAGACTGTAGACTTTGTTTCATGTGGATAGGCCCAGTAATTACAGATGCATTAATAACTATAAACCAGGTCAGCAAATCTGGAATTTCACAGTTCCACAGCAAAATCTACCTGAGAACTCAGTTTTATCAATATAACTTATACTTTTACTTATTTTTTGCTATAACTTCTGCAATAAGTCTCTTTCATTCAGTCATTACATGCCTATGGAAGCAATAATATGCTGCACCTGGTCATTTCCTCTACATTTCCATTTTTTTAAACACATAATAAACCAATATTACCTTTGTGGAATTGAGTTAAATTACACATAAATAGAGCCAATAGCTAACCAAAGAGAAATGATTTATTATTATAAAAGAAATCTACAGCATTTGGCAACCAGGACTAAACTAGGTCTAAACCAGATCTTAACATGGACTAAAAAGCAAACCAGAACAAAAAAAAAAACAAAAAACAAAAAAACAAAAAAAAACCCACCATGTTAAAATAAGAATCAAGCTTAAAAATTTTTAATTTCATGCAAATTACACATCAATGTGTGTTTTTGTGTGTGTTCATCATTTGTGGTTTTACAGCCTATTTTTCTGTATAAAAGCAGGGTAAAAAAATAAAACAACACCACATTTATATGCATTAAATACAATATAACAGCTGAATTTCAGTCGTCTTCGATTTTCCATTTGAATTTCTTGAAGCGTCGAGGAGGCTTTTCTGGAACAAAAACGTTACTTAAATAAAGTGCAAAGACATGGTATAAGGATACATATTTTATATATAGAGTAGTTGTTTTTTTTTACCATTATCCCGAGCAGTGAGATGATTAATTCTAGTTTTAGAAAAAGCATGTTTCCACACGTCCCCTGAAAAACAGAAAAAAATAAGCCAGGACTGAACCAGGACCGAACCAGGACTGAGCTAAGGACTGAGCTAAGGACTAAAACCAGGAGTAAATAAATGAGTAAACCAGGACTAAACCAAGAACTAAAGTAGGACTAAACCAGAACTGAACCAGGGACTAAACTAAGACAACACTAGGACAGTATACTGTAAATCCAAAGTTTCTCTCACCTGACACTTGGACGTTTTTGGTGGCCCTGTATTTCAGAGTTTTCCGTTTAATTCTTTCATAACGAGTTGAGGGGGCGGAGCCTGGTTCTGGTTTGGTCACATGATCTACCTCTACCACACGATGCCGTCGAGACTTCGATGCCTGAAAGAAATAAAATGTTTTAAATTTTAAATAAAACAAAGGTGATTTTGTCATGTTAGGGTTTATAGGTTTGAATAGGCCACTCTCACCTCTGCTGCCTGTCCATATGCTTTGGACTTGATGGATGCCAAAAGATCTGCTCTTCTGGAACTCTGCAGAGGACATGGGTAACATTAAAGGACCTGTGCGTATCCTGCACATCTTCCCATTTAAAATAGGTTTTACAATTACATTTAAACCTTAATCTGCAGATAGAGGACACACACAACTTTTTCTCATTCTTGGTATATGGACATGCCTCATGTGAAGCTCAGAACCTCCAGAATTCCCTCCCTGAGCTGCAGAGGCTGCACTAGCTCTGATTCACAGGCTACAGGTGCTGAGGTTTAGGTAGTGACCATAATATGAAATACAATGGCTTATGTGTTCAAAAGCAGTTAAACCCAAATGATGCAAATAGGATCTTTAAATTTGGTTTTGCTTTTTCCAAACTGAGAAAGAATTCTGACCTCCTGTTGAGTGGAAGGTCCCTCTCCGCTGTCTTCATCTCGACTCGACCCTGAACCCTGAAAAGAAACATTCTACATTTAAAAAAACAAAAGGTTAATCATTTAAAAAGTAGATTCTGTTCAATACATATTCCCCTTGCAGTATGATTATAATATTGGTGGAGGCTCACAGTACTGCAGAATGGAACTCAAAATCACAGGTCTCTTACAGTTCAATACATTGCCCATGATATAATATCACAATATGATGGTAGTAATCAACAGGGCTGGGAATTACATGGTCCCTCACATTATGGAAGATATGATAATAGTCATTTCACAAAATGGCAAAACATGATATTGAATAAGCAACAAAATTGCAGTGCTGTATGTGCCGTAACGGTAACTATGGTGATAACTCTTCTCTCACATCAACGACTCTGCAGACGTGGTTGTCTTTAAGCAGATTTAATGACGCTTGAAAAGGTAACGGTGATGCAACCTCAAAATAAAAAAAACTGCCGACTCAGAAAGCAACTGCATGCTGTCATGTCTGCTGTTCACAACCGTTACCAGCAATAAAGTTCGATTTAGTACGTGCTCTGCGTGCAATTTCAAAGGTGTCCACTAGATGACACCATACACAAGCGAAACTTAAGAATTATAAAGACTAGTGAATTATACATTTTAAACATTTTTTAAACAACTTTTTATGCATAACAGAACACTGTAATTTGTCAGAGTGAGGCTGACTAAAACTATACCTTGTTCTTTTGCCACTTGTAGAAGTCCAGCACGGTCTCTTGGAGGTTTTGGGTCAAGTCTGAATGGACCAGACTCAGACTGGAATCAGACTGAGGACAGACTGAAGACTTCAGCTTTTCATAAAGCCTGTGGACATTTGACATCTCCTGAAAAACAACATTAAAAAAATATTATTAAACAGCTGAAATAAGAGGTATTTTGAATTTGATGTAACTATAAGTCAACCTCAGTGCAGACTGTGGGAGTAAGTGAGAAGGTTCAATGACTTTGAGAGTAAAAGATTAAGTAAAAACTCAAAGCTCAATGCTTTACTAATTTTATTTGAATATGAAATTTTGCACAGTGCCTTAAATCTTTTATCATACAACATTAATCTAACATCAATATTTGGAGCTACTGAGTTATTGTTTATTCGGACTATAATTACAAATGTTTACTCTCCTTGTGACAAAATTAGATGACTGTGCACTATGTGACATGACCTCTGCATGATTGCAGCACTAGGCAGTGCCCTATCAGGAAACAGTGACACCTAGCTACTTCAATGCACATATTTAAGTAGTAAAAACCATAGCATTACTATGTTTACCTCAAGCAGGTTGTTACTGATGAGAGTCTGAGGAGCTGAGGGCCGCTCCATGAAGTTCTCACAGACTGGAGACATCTGAGTCGTCTTCTTCCTCTCAAACACAAGCTGCAAATACACATAGTTTCGTACATGAGTCTGACAGCAAGAAAAGTACTGTAACAACTAACAACAAAACTAGCATTGAGAACATACTCATTTATACAAGTATCAATACTGAAAAATAAATCTGATAACAGAATTGGACCTTTTTAAAGTTTCATTAATAAGCTGTGTGAGTTATTCACTTGGAAAGCACAGATTTTGGTGGATGTAATAGATTGGAGTAACTCACCAGTCGGGGCATTGCAGTGAAGACAAATGCTTTCATCTTCAAGAGTTTTTTCAGGATATAAACCACGTCATAATGTTTAGCTCCTAAAGAATCTTTCTCAAATTTCAGAATTTCCTCCCAGTCCTTCAGAGCCAAACGGATCTGAAACAAAACATATCAAAATTGATAGGGCATGGATGCAGAGGAGAGGGTTAGATGGGTATATTGTGTGCATATTTTTAACCATTTCTGGAGGACTTGCAGTCTGAGAGTGGAACAGAGCATACAGAAGGTAGAGCCCACCCACTCGGATCTGAAAAGTGAACGGAGGAAGCAGGAACTCGTAGGCTGTGTCCAAAACCAGACGAGTGAATAATCGGTTATTGTGTCTCGCAGTACCACTGAAAACAAGACGAAAGGGTTCATCTCAGTTTAAGAAGCTGCATGGGCCATGTCAATGTCTGATATCAATGCCATGATATAATAATATCACAATAGGATGATAGTAATCTATATATTGTAGGGCTGGGAATCGCATGGTCCCTCGCATTTGATATGATAATGATAATTTGATAAAATGGCAAAACGTGATAATGAATAAGCAACAAAATTGCAGTGCCGCAATTTGTCAGTGTAAGACTGACAAAATTAGTTTGTCCTTTTGCCATTGTCTGATATCAACGTTTTGATGGAGGACAGGAATACAAAGTAGACAAAGACACTACTTACACAAATGTTGAAACTGATCACTGTAAGTGAAGGGCTCCATAAACTTACGCCATAATCAATATCATAATCACAACTAAATTTTGTCCAAAGATATGAACATTTAGAAATAGAAATTTGTCAGACTTTTCAGTTTCAAGATGGTACAACGTCGTTTGATTTTGTTGTAGGTTTCTACATGGTTTCAAAGATATGATCACTTTATTGTTATTTTGTATGGTAGTTCTAAGTTCTTCACCTTATTATAATTTGGTGTTACATCAAATCTTATAAAGCTGGTCAAGTGTTTTGATACTGTAAAATAAAATGTAATAAACTCACTAGAAAATCTGCTCAAACTTCATGTCCCTCCAGATTTCAGTGAACGTCTCGAAGCGCACGGACTCCGTTTGCTGGAAGCGGTTCAGGAGCTCATCACAATCCTTTCTCACCAGTTTCCGAAACGGATTCATCTTTTAACAGATTTACAACATTAAAATCAGCACACGATCAGAGTAAAGCGTTCGGAATAACTTTAAGCCCCCACACGACCACATTTTACACAATAAACAATAAATGTGGTGTTTTATCTTGTAAAAGTGGATAAACGCATGATGTAAACAAACGACAGACTCACGACCATAGACGCTGGATTATTGCGTCATCAGAAGGAGACAGAGGAGAGATTCAAACGCTTAAATAAAAGTTTGGGCAAATATTTATGACATTCTAAACATTAGTTTTATGCTTAATAAAATGTATTTATTAAAACAAACAAACAAATAAATATTGTAAATTACCAAGTACATGTAAAATACAGTGTAACTATTAATTAATAAATATTTGCTGGTTCACTGATAGTCACAACTTTAAATGTATTTATTTATGAAGAAAATGTGTTTAGATTCTATTTTACAAGTATAATTTTAATAACATAATTTTATACAAGCCAAACTTTACTTTTAAAATACGTATTTCTTTCCAACACTTATGGTTTCTGTGTTGTGTCCATTAATCCATTATATTTGATTATACTTCCATGTTGTTCCCATGTGTCTTTTAAACTGTAATCCGGATGTGCGTTGCTCTCCTGCGGCAGTAAACAGCAGCCTGCCCCGCTGACGTGGAGATAGAGTTTCTGCACCAGATCTACGGGTTTATCCGCCTTTTTTCCTTCTCTCCGTCCATTTATCGACAACTTACCCAAAGATAATTCAACTAAATGCTTGATATTTCGTAGATTTGACAGAATACTGGGTTTAAACGTTGTTAAATAAGATGGCGGACGATGCTAGCAAGCCGTTCGCAGGTCTCGCAGATGTGTCCATATCCGAGGACATTGCTGTGGAAGGGGACATCTCAGTGCCAGTGGGGACATCCAGGTAAAGTCTTATGCTTATCAAGGACCAACTATAAAAGTATTAACAATCCGGGACAAGTTGTACTTGTTTATTTGTGGAGAAACAAAGGGAGAAGCTACAGAGAGTAATGCTAATCTACTGTGTTAGCCCTCCCCAAACGCATGAACTGTTGTCTTTACTGATATTGGAACGCTATAATGAGTATACAGTTTCAACCCAGTAACATAAGACAGCCAAGAATGATGCATTTTAAGCAAGAATTTTGGCTGACATGGAGGGACAGTTGAAAAATTAAGACTATTCAATAAAGGCTACGAGGGTCTACAAACCATGTTATCTGATGTACAGTTCCTCAGTCCAAATATGTCACTAGTAATGTATTTGTAATAACAGTTAATAACATTGTCCCACCCAACAAGTCAGAAACGCAGACATTGCATAGTTATGCAAGGAATGTGACCACTCAGATCTTGTTTTATTCAAAACTAAATTAAACACAACTGGAACATGTGAGACAGAAACTAGTATTTGTCCAAGAAGAATCATAACCCGTTTCTTTCTAAATGTCTATTAAAGCTGCACTATGTAACTTTTATAATGGAGAGTATGCCACCAGGGTGATGTTTTTACTATGCCCAGAATTTTTCACTGTATGGCATTAAACTTATAAATCTTGCATATAATGCATGTGTTTTTGTATCTAATAAAAATCTCATTAAAAAAATAAATAAATAAATTGACCTGAACCTTGGCATGGTAACAAGCAGAATGCAGACTCCCAAATTACACAGTATACCTTTTCCATGACAACTATGCCCTTGTGAACTAAAACATCAACCTGCCCAAAGACAACAGGTGGAAATTTGCATATTTCCCTGTTTCCAATGACACAGGGTCTGCCCCCCAAGGTCCTAAACTAAACTAAAAAGACTTCTATTAACTGCTGCTCTGCCAGTTTTTTAGAAGTGTTAAATTCCATATTTTTTTACTTCCAGACGAGACGAGGAGCTGTCGACTCTGGATGAGCCCGTGAAGGAGACTGTTCTGAGAGACCTAAGAGCTGTGGGGAATAAGTTCGTCCATGTGTTGTATCCGAAGAGAAGCTCGGCGCTGCTCAGAGACTGGGACCTGTGGGGGCCTCTGCTGCTCTGTGTGACTCTTGCTCTACTGCTGCAGGGAGGGGCATCTGACACACAGGACCAGGGAGGGCCACAGTTTGCAGAGGTAAGAAATAGTTATGGGGTCCTGAGCCTGGTTTAGTCCTGGATTCCAACAGGTTCATCATCACTTGCCTTGGTTTGATCCTGGGTTTGGTTCTGTTCTAGTCCAGACTTAATTCTGGTTTTCAGCTGAGCTAAGTTTTAATGCCATGTTTTATTGCAATCCAGTTGGGAGAAAAGCACAATCAGAGACGTCTTTCCTATCCACAAAAAGTCAGTGAGAAAAGTCAAAATGATTTCATTAAGAGTCAGGGCAATAATATTTAATACAGATGGAGGCAGCTAAAATATAGTTAATACAGATTTTTGTTATTATACAGTGAGTTCTTGGGTCTAGTCACTAATTCAAATTATCAGGTTGAACATTTGCCTTTTGGATGGCTCTCCTCTCCTGTCCCATCTCCTCCTCCGCCTCCCCCCACCTGTTCCACCTGGATTATGGTTATTTTATATGTCTCTGTTTCTCATACTCTTTCCTCCCCTCAGGTGTTTGTGATTGTGTGGGTCGGCTCCATCGTCATCACCTTAAACTCAAAGCTCCTCGGTGGCACGCTGTCATTCTTCCAGAGCCTGTGTGTCCTTGGTTACTGCATAATGCCCCTCACTGCAGCTTTAGTCGTCTGCCGCCTTGTCCTCCTCCTGGCCAACAACGCCGTGAGCTTCGCAGTGCGCCTCCTAGTGGTCGGTGCCTCCTTTGGGTGGTCCACATTCGCGTCAACTGCTTTCCTTGCAGACAGCCAACCTCCCAATCGCAAAGCACTGGTGGTCTACCCCGTTTTCCTCTTCTACTTTGTCATTGGATGGATTATCTTAACTTTTTCGCCATAGAAACTAATTTAAACTAAAGACAATAAAGTTCCCATTTTAGGCTTTTTTCAACATTGTATTTTTCACGTTTTATATCCAACAGTAATCTGGAAACCTCTCCTTTTCGGTAATAACTTGGAATCTCGCATTCTGCTGTTGAGGTTGAAATTCCAGTGAAGAGGGGCATTTCCACGGTTCAATAGATTACGTTCATGTGATATCAGCACATTGTAGAATCTCTATATTTTAAAACTGAGCTGGAGACGGGTCAGGATCCTCAGGTGGAGTTTGTTGTGTAACTGTCAGATTGCAAATTTGTTGACCTGGTATAAGGTGCATATCTGTAATTACTGGGGCTATCCACATCAAACAAAAACTGACACAAAATTCATCATCTTCACTGTCAGAATAAATAAACAAAAGTGATTTTTTTTTTTCACAATAGATTCATAAAGTGGTCCCATTACTCAACCCCACATACATGATTTTCAGTTGAAAGAACTTTAAGACATACGTTTGTGGAGCAAGTCCTTAGGTCAACTGAATAACTTTTCTGGTGGATGGTCCGCCACTTGCTTTGTTTTTATGGAGATGTTTTTGCTTTGTCTAGAATCAAAGTCTAGAGATTAAACCCGCGTGTTTCAAGGGAAATAACTTTGCTAATTTACAGGTCAGATCTGTGGACTGTCGTCCGTATTCCCAGAGAGAATTACTGTATTTCTGAGCTATAGAAACAACCGTAATGAATAAATGCTAGATGGATAAGTTTAATGTTATATTCCAGGCAATGCAAAAACATCTCCATGGAGATGGGCCCTCCCACCAGAAAAGTTGCGCAGTGTACCTTTAACAAATAATGAGATTCAACATTTGTGAATCAGAAATTTCCAGATTTCTTTCAAAAACAGGAAATCTCCCATTGAGTTATATAGGCCCCTGCCCTCCATCTGAAATTACATCATCTAATTCTATAACATGAACGCAATCTATTGAAATAAATATGTTTTTGTGCAGGAGTCAACCGAAGGATTACAAACATTCAAAAACATGTATTATGGCCTGACTATGGGATTTATGAACAAAGCTCTTTACCAGATCTGCCTTTAAAATGACTACTGACACTGATGGAACACTAAAGGACGCTGTTGTTTGCCCTATTTTGCTGGAGGTGGATAGAATGTTTACAACTGTGGAAAATAAAAAGTCTAAAATTGTACATATGGGGGAAAAGGGTTATGAATGTCTTCCATAGCAATATTTTTATGTTTTATTAATCTAAAAGTTCCTTTCTGAGGGGGTGAGGCTGTAATCTTGAAGACGTTTTAATTCATATTCAAATATTTGGAGACGCAGACAGGAGCATTTCTTTCTTTTATGAATGATAAAGCCAAGCTAAAGTGGCAAACAGATAAAATGTCTGCATGGTCTGTTTGTATCAAAGCAAATATGGCTGCTAACAAGGAAAAAAGAAAAATGTAATTTAAAAACATTACAGATTTCTGCAGATTCAAAGAACGAAGCATTAAACTCTGTTAATCTGTGGTGAGAGAAGTTATTAGTGATAGGTGGCTGATGACTCACATGCATCACCGAAATGAACAAATCCAATAGAAACAAGAAAAAATACAGAGATAAGTCTGGATTTGATTTTTCCCATGGAAAAGGTTAGAAGCATCACCAAGTGTGTCTAGCGTTGCTCCTGTCTGCTAATCCAAACCAAATGTTAAATTAGTCTAAATGCAGTAATTAATTAGAAAATTACATTTTAAAATCTGGCATAAATGCAGATAAACTGAGATGGATACAGTGAGAATTGAATCGTCAGCCCTCTTCACTGAGGGCACTGACTGAGCCACTGTGGCCCCTAATGCAGGACAACTGTATTTGATATATTTTTGTAAACCTTTTCGAAGAAATTTTGAAGGACCAGAATCTCACATATGGACTGACCAATCAGCACGGCTTAGGTTTGAAGGGCGGGTTTGTTTAATAATAAACTTTAATTTATGATGATTTAAATAAAATTATTAAATGTAACAAATCAAAATTGCTTCTGTTTTTATGCAAAACATTCTGCACTTAATCACATTCTCCAGTGTCTCTGGGTTAAACCTGCATTTGAACACACAAACTCCAAACAATCTGGGAATCAAACCAGGGAGCATCTTGCCGTGAGGTGTGGACTACAACCACCAGGCTGTACTTCAAGAATCTACCCTTGAGTAGTTTCAGAAAAAAAATGACTTAAATATAAGAAATGTATAGTACTTTTGTAAACATGTATTTTATGACAAATCCAAATTCACAGTAGGGCTGTCAAAAGTATCAAATCAGATACTATTGATACTCAAGTCCCATTCACAGGACAGAATTGAACCTCTCCTGAATAGTTTTAGAATGATCTTGTATCAGAACAAATAGAGCACATAGACGAGTTTACACCCATGGACCACTATGGAACCTACAAGGACAAGAAGGATATAAGGCCACATGGAAATATAAAAAAGAACTACTATTTAATGTTGAAAATTACATTCTGTTATCTAAATAATGTTTATTATGATCGTAGTATCCAATTTAGTATGGAGTCCATTCATTCATTCATTAGTATCAAAATAGAGCTGGTATTATGACAACAGCAGATAATCAGTCTGACCACATTCAATGATATTTGGAACTTTATCATTAAATTTCTCAGTCAAAAAGTGACAATACAGCATCTCTATAGCCCCACAGAGCTCAGATTCTGAAAGTAAAAAAAAAAAAAAAAAAATTAAATTTGCCCATAAATTTTCCCAAAAAAAAATAGAAAAAAGGGCACAATATTATGTTTCAGATTTACTTTTTAAATTAAAATGAATTACCCTTGATCCAACTTAACTTATATTTTCACATTGCTTTTTTTTTTTTTTTAAACTATACAAAAACAATATTACAGAGCTTCCAAACAAATCTACAAAAAAAAAAATTGGGATTTTACATCCAGAATTGGATTCTGGACAAATGTTCACAGACAGGCAATTCTAAGTATGGAGTTAAACAGACCCAGCCACTTCGAAGTCTTCACTGGTTCTGGAAGTAAATTTCCCATTTATTTTCACTAAATAAAATATTAAAAATGTTAAAAACGCTCAACAGAGGCTAACCAGCTATGCAGTAACTAAATAACCATAATGCAGCTTTATTCCAAAAAGCACCTTTAAAACTTAAAGTAAAAGCAAATAAATGTTTTAATTACTTGGTGATTTTCAATGGTCCAGATAGGAGTGGGCGATGTGCCAGAAGATGCATGTGATTTTATTCAGCCCAAAGAAATACTTATACTTTTGAGAGCTGTGAAGTGCAAACATTCTCTTAAAATCAAACAAATGAGAATTCCATTTAGCCAACTAAATATCTACAAAAAAATAAAGTATTTTCCAGTTCAGCAAAAGTGCTTTGTACAAATGCAACTTAAGTTCCTCGGACTAAGTACAGGTGCACTTCAAGCTCCTCCCTCTTCATTCAAGGTGTGGCAAGAGAGTGTTTGGCCTGCCCTCTCTGTAGAGGGGAGTCTTAGGCCCCTCCCCCTTAGTACAAGTGCATCTTAGCTCCTCCCTCTCAGTGCAGGTGAGTCTAAGTGACTTCCTCCTCTGTATAGGGGAGTCTTAGGCCACGCCCCTTCATTACAGGTACACTATAGGCCCCTCCTCCTCAGTACAGCTGTGACAAGGGAGTCTTAGTCCCTCATCCCCTGTACAGGTGAGTCTTAGACCCCTCCCCTTGAGTACAGGTGCATACTTTGCCCCTCCTCCTTAGTGGTCCTCATACACACAGTCACAGTCTCGGAGCATGTCTCTCGGGGGCCTCTGGGTGCAGACTTTCACTCTGTTCTGGGTGAGTTCTTGCAGTTGTTCAATTAGAGTCTTGACGAAGGGTGTAGGCCAGTACTTCCCATTCAGACAACAACGGTGCACAAACAGGTCCAGTCTCTCCAGGTGCTGCAGACGGTGCAGGTTCAGCAGATCCTTCTCCGGCTCACGGCGCAAAAACCTGCAGCAAAGAACGTGTTTTACTCACATAGACTATATTAAATTTCACAACAATGAACCCTCGCGCACCTGATGGAGAGTGTAGAACTTTTTTTTTCCTTGGCCGATACCAATATCTGGCCTGTTGCTGTTGCCGATAACCAGTATTAAGCTTTTTAAGTATAGTACAGACCATATTAATGTCAAGTTATAGTGAAGTTTACAAATTTTCGCTTTTGTAAATTGCTAACAAAATTTGTTTATCTGGAATATAAATTCACTCAGCAGACTCTTTGCATGTTAACCCTGTGTGCACTGACCGTAACCGCAGCGACCGGAGGTGGGGAAACAGAGCTGGGATCCGCCTGCAGAGGGAGCCACTGGAGCGGTTCTGTTCTATGTCGAGATGCGTGAGGCCTGGGACTCTGGGCGCGATGATCTCCATGTCCTTCAGCGTCAGGCTCAAACGCAGCGTGAGCCGGGTCACTGTGGGGGGGATGGAGCACGCGTAGTTTGAGATTGCATGGCCTCCTGCAAACAAAGAACAAGCAACAGGTAAGACAGACTGCTGATGTGGCTACGCATACAACTACAGGTGAGTCTGCAAATGTGGCTACTGTTTCTGCTGTCAGTTTTCAATGCATCTGTAAGCATTAAAAACACGTCCCTGGTCCCTGGTCCCTGGTCCCTGGTCCCTGGTCCCTGGTCCCTGGTCCGTTACCTGCGATGGTGAGGTCCTGCAGCTGTGTGAGAGGGGAGAGCCAGTGCTTGAGTCTGCACTCGAGTCCCTGGTGGATGGACTTGTATCTGACGGTGAGAGATCTCAGAGATGACAGATGCTCCAAAGCGCTCTCAGGGAGGATGGCCTCTGGGTAATCCACCAGCTCCAGAGAAGTGAGGGCGGGGCCACCATAACGCCACTCATCCTCTAGGGAGATGCACACAGAAAGAGGACACTTTTTTAAAAAGGAAATGTATGTACAATTTGGATTTTTGATTTCATAGACATTCAAAAGTGTCCCTAAATATGAAGTAAAAGCGTTCAAATCAAATAGCTCTTTCTGCTAGCAATGGCAATACTGATTTATTCTTAGTTACAAAAACATTGGACATGATGCAAAGTTAATGTTAAAAATGTGTGCTTTGGTTTAAGACAATTATCCAGTCAGAAAGCAGAATGAGCTTCAGATGAGTCTCTCATTTGGGTGTCAATGCTGACATCCAGTTGTTTTATGCCTAAAATGTCTCTCCCTAAACCCCAGCACCTGGAGCCATGAGTCATGAGTCTGAGCTACTGCAGCCTCTGCAGCTCACAAGGTTCTGAGCTTTCACATGAGGCAGGGCCTGAGAAAGACAAAAAATGTGAGCCTGTCCTCCATCTGCAGGTTAATCCTATGAGCACATGATGCATACATTTCTTTACCCTCTAAGTTCTCTGGGGTTTAATAATTGTAAGTTGGTTCTAGCTGTTGGATCTGGCAACCCAAACTGAGGAGCTCATCCAGCTTGAGAACCAAAACAAATTCTATAAAATCATTACATTTTTGTTTCTCAGTGGGTAGATGTGTAATGTTTAGAAAGCCTTTTTCTATATACACAGCCTTTTAAGTATTCACAGTAAAAGCATGTGTATAGGACTACCGTCTGTAAGCTGTGGATCTGGAGGGCAGAAGTAGTCCTCCTCCAGAGGCTCCGGTGGCTCTCCCTTCATGCCCCAGGACAGGTACTGCAGATGGGTCAGATTCTGTAGCAATTTATGGAAGGCTAAGCAGGGCACCGGCCGGATGGTGGCGCCCCCTAGCCCTTCGGCATGTTGGTGGAACAGCAGCGAGCGCAGGTTTATGAGACGAGATGCAGCAGAGATGAACTCAACAGGCCAAGGGAGACGGACGTTACACACACTCAAGTGGGTCAGGCGCTGAGGGAGAGAGAGAGATCGGGGTTTCAAGAGAGATTATTTAGTTTGGACATTCTAATGCAGGCAAATAGACAAAACTTGGGTACTCCTGGTTCTGGTTAATCAGCAAACTTGAAATGCATATCACGCTGATGAGAGCAGAGTGCGTGATGGACTCTTATTATTATCTTACTCACAGTTGTATTTAGATCTACAGCATGTTTGAGTATGTTTGACAATTTGCCATTTTACAAAAAAATCTGCATTTTAACAATATTAATTGTAGCTGCCCACATGCGCATCAGATTTTATGGGCCAATAGAATGTTGTGATGTCATCAGAAACCCAGCTATAGGATAAAAACAAAACAAAAAAAGTTTAGTACAATATGAACCTTTTTAACACTCTAGTTTTCCCCATAAGACTATAAAAAAAAAGATGATTAAGGTAGTGTGGTGTCACCCATAGTGTTCGGCTCCAGTCAGATGAAGCTCACAGAGGCTTGCAGTTAAGGGGGACTTTGGAGCAGAGTTCCATATTAGGAATAGGAAATTATTTATGGACAAAATAGTGAAATAAAAACACCAGGATCATGTAGAGCATGTAAACAGAAGCATTTTTAGGACCAAACCACCACTGTAGCAGTTACAGAGACAGGGATGAACATTTTTCAGTGTAAAGTCAATTGGTAACAGAGTCAGTGGAGCTGGAAGCACGCCCATGCTCACTTCCTATTTGAAATGCAGTGGTCAGCAAGTTAGCTATGTCCATTAATATATTAATATATCTCCCTGTACCTCTCTTAGCTGGTCAGCCAGGCTCCAGCTCAGCATGCGCTCTTCCCACGTGGCGTTCCGGACTCCCAAATCTCGGAGGTCCGGGAAACGCGACAGATTCACCAGGTACTTCTCTCTGTAGAGCCGCCCTCCGTCCACAAACACGATGGCGGTTAAAGATGGCAGGAATGTGATCAGGCGACGCCACTCTTTACGGCGAAGGTGACGGACCTAAAACAGAACAATCAAGAACAGTTTAAATCTAGACTGGAAAACCACCTCTTCTCCCTAGAATTTCAAGAGGGAGTATTATGCAAAATCAATTTCTTTTAAGCTTTCTACCATGTTATAATGTTGTTCCCTCATCAAAAGCATGCTTGAAGAGGTCTTAGATGTCATCCATGTATGTCTGTGTAATCTAGTGACCTCTCCCGGGCCCTATGTGAACCCTCCTTACAGTTAGCTGTAGGATTCTGTGCCAGGCTCTGCTCGCAAGCCTATTTCAGCCATTCTTCCACGTGACAATACTCATTAAATATACAAAAAGTCATACAGAACTGTACACAACAACTTGATGCAATGTGAAGTTATTTCATTAGTGCAATGTACACTGATTGTGTTGCAATAGTGCTCTGAAGGGGGAGTAATGTAAGATGGAGAGCAAAGGGAGGTATTAACATGTTAATACATTATTTTCGGCGAATATAGGATTTTCAAAATATTAAAAGGTGACATGGTAATATACTGGTAAGTATTATGTGTAAGAAGTTCATATCTGATAGAAATATCCCCGCTTTAACATTAGCGTTAATAAACTTGAATTAAACAACCATGTACAAACTTAAAGAGAAAAAAATATTTATTTTATGATTTAACATTTAGACTAGAACCCAAAGAATCGACACATTTCCATGTGCGCACAGGCACAGCTCCAGATCGCTCGTTGTTTACGTCACATGAGGCGAAACTTCTGGAATTTCAAAAGCTCTTTCCCCTCACTTTCCCAATTCAAATTGAGCCAAGATTATTTAAAATTATATTTCATTTAGCATTTGGTCTAGAACGCCTAAAAATCAGCACATTTTCCCATTTGCACATAAGCTCCGGACCGTACCGCGACTCTGGTGATCCTGCGGCGGCTCAGCGTGTCCCAGAAGCCGTAGGTGTAGCGGCGCAGGTCGGTGAGGAAGACCGTGTACTGGCGCCACAGAGCCGGGTGGTCTGAGAGGAGCTGCAGAGAGCGGCAGCAGCAGCGGACCGAGTGTTTGTCCGCCGTATTTAAAAAGCTCAGGATGTGAACCACTACTTCAGGCGGCAGCTCCTCCATCGGGGCCGAGCCGGGCCGAGCCTTTCCGGGGCTTCGGGCCACAGCACCGACGCTTTCCGCTCTGGGGCCGGAGACATGGAGACACACCGCCACCTACCCACGCGGAGCTGGAGAGCAACTATTACACTGATAGTAATGATAACAGTGTTGTGTTGATTTCTACGAAAGAGCATTGTAGTCAGTGAAAAAAAAAAAAACAGGCGCAGAGGCACGGAGATCATTCTACAGTTCCTTTAAAGATGCAACAGTATGGATTCTCACTATAAGAGTGACACACAGGCAAAAAACATCAGTCTACAAGCGTCTAGCTGAGAGTTTCTGAGAGTCTTAGTAAAGCTTTTAGTATTGTCCAACTATAAAGACTCCCTCAGTCGTCGAGATACAATCCAAGAGGAGAGAATTCAGTTTGTCGACTGGACAAAAGTTAGTTTGGTTGAAGACGTCTTAAAAACTAAAACTAAGTAGCATTCATCATTCAAGGTTACTGAGCAGAATATTTTGCACTTTAACTGTAGGAAGCATTATATTAAGTATGAAATAATTTATGAGATTATTGTTCACAGTTACCAATTTATATTTTTTGAGTCTTTCAGAATGGGAAGAATTATGGGAAGAATACTTTGAAAATGTAGTTACAGAATACTGAATCCCTAAATTAAAATGTAATTTTAAAATTTAAATTTAATTTACATATTCTTTTAGATGGGCCAATGAGAACAATGTATTCTGAAATGTACCAGAATAGTTACTCAAAATTAGTGTTCAAAATACGTACTTTCGGTACATGTATTCAGTTTCTTCCCAACTCCGTTATCGTGTCCATACCTCGATCTATCCATATTTAATGTTACCTCTGGACCACACTTGGTTGAGTTTGTGGGTATTGCTCTTGTTGTGAATGTTCTTACTTTCCTTTGCTGCTTGAAACTGTCAGGTCTGATCATAGGCTGTATGGGCCTGATTAGGTAATGATAGGGTGACCAGATTTTCTAAATCAAAAAGTGGGACACCTTCGGTTTGGGGTGGTTGAATCCTATATTTAAGGCTACCTCCAAAGGAGTAAAGTTGTAGCTCTTAGATTAATTACACGATCAAATGTAAAATGTAGAGAGTAAATGTGACAATGCCAGTCATAAACAAAAACATTTAAAATAATACTGTAACTGTAAAAATGCATTGCCTCTGTCAAACTGAAAGCACTCAATAGCCGTTTTCGTTTTAAAATAAATGTAATTTTATCTTACATGTTTAAGTGTCTTCAATGTACAACACAATACAAATATACATCCAGGGAAGTGTATCAGAGCAGTACTGGAATAAACTGAAAGGAGAAATTACATTTGACTATTGTTGTAGTTACAGAACTCAATACATCAGTACATTTTCATAATTTTCTTGAAAATATTTTTGAATCAATACAATTTATTGTAAAAAAATATATATTATTAACTTTCATGATAGTTCAATATTATTAAAGAAAAGACCAGAACAATAATGCATTAAGTATTTTCAAACTATAATTTAAACCATTTATTTTAAGATTTAACCAAATTATAGCTTTTTCCTGCTTCAAACACATTAACTTTGAAGACTACATGCTCACCTGCTCCTAAATATCCAATTAGTGTGGTAGAATATGCTCTAAGTCTCTCTCCCATAAAAAGTAGATACCTTCTCTGGTATTTTCATCAGAAATCTCCAAAAGAAAAATCCACAAATGTTTTTTTCCCCTGATAATTTCTATCAGTGACAATGACCTGTCCTGTATTTATCCAACCACACCACAACATCTGGGAGGGCATCTGAATCACCACAATATTAACTAAAGATATTTGGCCTGCCCCCATCTTAGTCTAACGCTACAGGATTATAGGAATGGAAGGGCATCTGACACACAGGGATATGGGGAAATGAGAGGGCATTAAGACTTCAGTGTGTGTTTCATACATACAAAAACTATACAGCAGGAGAATGGACGTCGTCACTAATAGAAATGATCAGGGAAACATTTGTGGGTTTTGACTCTGCTCCAGGTTGTCTTGCTGTTGGCAGTGGTTAAAACTCCAGGACGTGGCTCATTGGTTCTGTGGAGGTTATCTCAATCTCCTGCCTCTGCCCGTACAGCCCCTGCTCCACGGTGCCCCCTCCTGTCGCCCTGGCACACAGCAGATGGGTGCAGTGGAGGTAGAGGCTGGAGAAGAGCTGTTTGCCCACCCAAGCCTCGCTCACACCTCTGCTCTGCATGCTCCGACGAGGCCCTGGTTCAAACCCCAGAGACTCCTGAGGCACCAGCAGCACAGAGCCAGGCAGGTCCAGCACAGAACAGATCTGCCGACGGAGTGAAGTGCGGAAGAAACGAGTGTTCATGATGGAGTCCGCTATGAGAGAAAGTGTGACAGAGAGAGAGAGAGAGAGAGCGCGAGAGAGAGAGGAACAGAAGAACAATCAAATTCACTATTTTTCACAAGAAGCGGCTACATGGTTATGATTATTACATTGACTTTTCCATTTCAAAACTAAAACCTGTTTTATACTTGAGCATAAAATCAGCACAGATGTGCTAGACTGATGATTCCCAACCTTTTGCTCCCAGTGCCCCCCACATCATTCTCCTGATAACCTACTGTCTTAAGGAGAGGAAAGATAAGAAAAATATAATTACTTTTACGGTTAATAAAGATGTGTTAGAATAATTGTATATGTTATCCCATATTTTCTATGTATTGTTTTTGTGTGAATAATGTTTTGTGCTTAATAGCTATGCAGTGACCTGTCACCCACTCTGCACACCGCGAAAACAATGACTTATTCAGCTCTTGCTGGGAAAGAGGACAGCTCTCAAGGTTGGCAGAAAGGAGGGGAGGCACTGTTCCTGAAGATGCTACACCTTATCCGCCACCTGCTGTTGATATACATATTTGCACGATGAAATCATGTCTGGTGTTTCTACTGTTTTTTGCTGTTTTCAACCCCTCCCATTTAGAGAAACACCCATTGTAACTAGGGACCCTCTTATGACAATAAAAAGAGGAGACGCAGAGAGTGCATCAGAGCGGGTAGAGACTGTAACGGTAAATGCACTCTCTGTCCGTCCTCCTCATGAGAAAACGATATTAATCTCTTGTCTTTCTTCTTGTTTTTACAATGTTTAGGTGGGCTTAAACCTGACAGATGTTATAAAACCAAACGCATCTGGCATAAAATACTTTAACAAGCAAATAACATGCTATCTCTTCATTAACATTCACATAATTGTGTTTAGTGTGTTTGGCTCTCTTTTCTAAAAAACCTAGGGGGCCCCGTACGAATCCTGACGAGGGGGGGCCTAAATTTGGGTCCCAACCCCAAGGTTGGGAATGACTGCTAGATGTTTGTTGTGGCAAGGTAGATGCCACTCATGCAAGAAAGTTTCTGGTTTAACTCCTGGACATTCTGTGTGGAGTTCTGCCTGGCAGGCACTCTGGTTTCGCCCACTCAACTCAGGATGTCAGCTCTCAGTTGAATGGTGCTTGACACTTGAATATAAACCAGTTGAATGGAATACTGACCCTCGTGCTGCTCTGTGACCCCAGTAAAACCATATTTTTAGTTCTCACCTATTCTCTGAGTGGTGTCATCTGTGGCTCCTTCAAAGAAACACACGTAAACCACGAGGCCTTCTCCGATCTGAACACATTTCACACATTATACACATTATTTGGTAGTTCTGAAGTACATATTTTGATGAAATGTCAAATAAGCGGGGTGTAATTTTGTTCTAAACAGCGCTTAAACAGTTCAAAACTTTTTTCACTGTCTCCCTCCACTGACCTGTGCATACTGTGACTCTGTTCCGTCGACTCCAGCTCGGGTTTTGACTCTGGCGCGGCTGCACTGCTGCACCACTACACGAGCCTCCAGGGAATGCTCACTGTCAGTAGAGGCAGCACAAGCAATACAAGGAAAGACAAGAACAGGTCACACAAATACATCAGATATGTGACAAACCTTCTTTATTCCGCAAAACCAACTTTTATCCTGTCCTCAAAAAAAATCCCTAGAGTTGAAGTCTGAAGCTGCTCTGTGTGTTTTATGTCCAGACACCTTCATAAAACTCATTCTGATTGTTTCATCTCAAATTGTTTCAAATGCAGTGAACATATTATGTTTTTTCTGTTATTTAATGACATATAATCAATCAATACAATAAGCCTGAATAATGATGGATGAAAGAGGGTATTACACTTCCATGGGGGTATTAACTGCTGACATATAAGATAACCATGTTACGATTTATTGTTCTGAAAATTAAAATTATTTTCAGAGTGACAGTTCATGAATGAAACTACTGCACACTGCATTACATCATGGCTGATGTAGGCTTGTGGGCAGAGCCTTGTACAGGCTCGTGCTGCTAATCATAAGGAAGGTCTGAATAGGGCCCGGGAGAGAATGCTTATTTACTCAAACATACATGAATGACATCTAAAACTTCTTCAGGGATGTTTTTGATGTGGTAATATCGTTTTAACAGAGAAGGCTAAAAAAAATAAAATAAAATATTTTTTTTTTTTTTTTATTACATAACACATAAGACTTCATTTTGTAATTGATAATCATAAAAACAGCACAGTATTTCTCTCATAAATGTACATTATGGGAGGTTGTACCTGTCTGCTCTCTTCTTGTCCCTCTGCGCTGTCTGTCTCTGTGGACTCTGTGTTGCACACTCTGGTTTGGAACTGGAGACCACAGGCTCCACACTCTCCCTCTGCACCTTTTTCACTGGTACCTCCTCATCTGGGAAGAACTTTCTCTTCAGAGGGCGCCCTCTGCTACTGTGTGTGGGTCTCTGCGGACTCTGGGCGCTCTGATAAATAAGAGATCAGACGTGTCAAAAAATGAATGATAACGTGATAGTTGTTTTAGAGAAAAGTCTAGTTATTTAGTAATTATAAAACTGAATACCCCCTCTTTAACAATTTGAAGAAATATATAAGGAAAATCCTCACACATCAATTGTGATTACCATCAAACTAAAAACCTCCTGAGTTACTGATTTCTGCCCCACCTGTTTTTTTCTGCCCCACCTGTTTGTGTGTGTCCTCAGAGGGAGAGGCCTGGATCACCTCTGTGTGGGACACTTCCACCCTCTGCATGAGGACCTGCTGTCTGCCCCGACTCGTCTGCACCTGCTCCTCGTGCTGGTAGTTCATCGTGTTCGGATTCACCATTTGGATTTCCGATTTTTCCTTCTGTAACAAAAACAAGAAATGTAAGGTCATATGTGACATCATACACTTACATTACAGACTTGAAAGTATGACAAGTATGAAAAGTTTTTCCATTTATGTTTTTGTTAATTTTTGCATTGTAACTTTTGTTACACAGCAGGGTGCAAAAATATGGGTATATCATATTGTTTAATGTGACGATATAGTGTCGATATCGGGCGCTGCTGTATCGATATATCACCAAGAGTAATTTTTGGCATATTTTGCTAAATTATTTTGTTACAACGCTACAGTTTTGTTGCTTGTTTATAGGAAAGAAACTTGTTTATGCAACACATTTGACATATTCACTGCTGTGATGATTAAAATGGGTGTGTTTATATATTATTATAATATATTATCATATTCACTTTGCACAGACTTTTAGTATCACAGCCATTATTTAGCTATTATTTTTATTGAACAGTATCAAATAGTTTTTAAATATATGGAATCGAATCAAAAGTGCACTGTATTGAGATAGGTATGTAGAGGTATGTATCATAGCACAGCAACTTCCTAATGATACCCAGCCTTATTGTTACATTGAAAGCACTGTAACTTCAGTTGGGTCTGTCAAGATATATAGAGATATAATTATCTAGTTTGCCATTTTATCTGCTTTAAATCTCTACCAATGTTTTAGATGGGTCAACCAGCTGCCTAAAAATGTAAAGAACTTTAATTACAACCTGAATAAGAAAGAATTTTGTTCAGTGTCCACTTCATAGTAAAACAATGTGAATGAGTTTGTGGAAAATTCTAATTATATCATTTGGAGAAAATAATGAGTATTTGCCCTCCTTATCAGCTCATAAATATCATCAGAGCTTATCGTTCATTAGCATCTCTACATTCAAAACAATCGGTATGGAATAAAAGTTGGTTAAAATATGGTTAGAAGCTCTGAAATTTCAATTGTTTACAACAAGTCTAACAGTGTCTTATTTTATGGGCGACACTAGATTTTGAGAACCTCACCTTGCTCTGTTTGGCCTGTTTCCCCTGTGTCACTGCTTTAGTGCTGGTGCTGGTCGGGTTCTGCTCCTGTCCCCAGATCTGGGTCATGAGCGTGTTCGGGGTCAGGAGAATGGGGCCTCCAGACTGAAGGTTTAAAGGAGGGCCAAGGTGGACCAGGATTGGGACCTGGACTGGAGTCTGTACTTGGGTCTGAACTTGAGAAAGGACTTGGGTTGGGACTTGGGTCTGTGATTGAGTCTGGACTTGAGACAGAACTTGGGTTGGGACATGGGTCTGTGATTGAGTCTGGACTTGAGACAGAACTTGGGTTGGGACTTGGGTCTGTGATTGAGTCTGGACTTGAGACAGAACTTGGGTTGGGACTTGGGTCTGTGACTGAATCTGGACTTGAGACAGGATTTGGGTTGGGATTTGAGTTTGGACCTGATTCTGGACCTGAATATGCACTTTGGAATTTGGAGTTTCTATTGGAGTTTGGACTTTGTTTGGGACTTGATTCTGAGCAGGAACCCTGACTTTAGTTTGAGACTGGACTGGGGTCTTGACTTGGACCTGAACTTGCTTTTGAGGCTTTGGTTGAACCCTCTGCACCTGAATCAAAAACAGAAGATAAATCAAAATACTGTATACTGAGAAGAGAAGACAGGTTTCTACAGCAAACATCGAAACTCACTTTTATTTCTGTGTCAGACTCAGTTTCGCTTCCATCGCTTATGTTTTCATCCTCCTCTTCCTCCTCTGAATCACTGTGTGCCCTATGAACACATGATTACAGGAAATTTTTAACGATATTAAATAAAACATCTTAAATCTTAAACTGTAACATGAGCTCCCACTGATTTATAAACAGCTAAAGGGTGTAACTTTGTCATTATACAAAAATTTGAACTCAAATTCGATTCTCAGTACCAATATTGATACCACAATGATTAAAGTTGAACTATGTAACTTTTCTGGAGGAGTGCTTTATTGTTTTGCCGGGAATGTTCCAAAGTATGGCATTTAGCTTATCGATTTCCATGGAAACAAATGGCAGAAAAGTTACATGGTGCACAAACGTTTTTATACAATAGAATCTAACTTTCAGCACAAAATATTGGTCCTTCCTTTAGTATTTGTGAATAATACAGATGTTGCAAAATTGTTATTATCATTAAAATCCATATTTGATTTTGACATAGAGCAGTCTTCATATGGTGGTGCAATTCCATATCTCAATGGAGACAAACCGTGATATGTGTGCAGAGGTGACAGTAACAATTTTTATTTTTCAAGGTATTTTTGACCAATAAAAACACCTGTAATTTAATGCTTGAAAAACAGATAAGTGGAATGTCATACAGTGTAACATTGCAGGCAAAGCTTTAATATCTCCCTCACCAGAAAGTTACACAGTGCACCTTTACCACCCTGTTTTGTACCTGTGTTTGCTGAGTTGAGGCCTCAGCTTCTTGTCTCCGTCTTGTTTCTGAACAGGAGGAATTTTAGGTTTGTTTTTCAGACGACACACTACACATTTACTGATCCACTGAGTGATGTCTGAGCGCATCGTTCTCCAGTTACATCTGTCACACAAGATGAAATCATAAGAAAATATTAGACAATTATTGTGTTGTATACATGTTAATTATTAACCCAGTTTCTCAAAATATCAGAGAGGAAACAAGAGCTTAAAAATATAAACATGCAGTAGCAGTTTCATGTTTTACACTATGGTATATTTTCTTTCAGCAGTAGAAGTAATGAGTATTTTTGTATTGATTACCAATTTTATCCGCAATTGTGGTAGTAGAAGTAATAATAACAGCATTACTAGCAGTGGTACTATGAGTAGGAGTAATAGTGGTAGTGCCAGTAACAACTTTTGGCCTCCAGGTTGTTGAGTATATCATGTTATCATACTAGCAGTATTACCTGTAGTAGCAGTAGTAGCAGTAGTAATAGCAGTAATAGTAATAGTTGTATTAACAGTAGTAGCAGTAGCAGTGGCAGCAGCGTCAGCAGCAGTAGTAGGTGCAGTAGTAATAGTAGTAGTAGTATTAAGAGACATAGTAGTAGTATTCTCTGACCTCTCGTTGAGTAGCCTCAGACACTTGTTGACCTCCAGGTGGTTGAGTTCATCGTGATATTCCCTCAGAGCCTCATTCACCTGTTGTCTGTTCCTGAGCACTGGCACTGCGCGATCTCTCACCCGAATATGAAGAACACCATCTGAAAATACAACAATTCAACATATAACTTTACTGCTCAAGTCATGTGTGACAGTTCTCAGAGTTGAACAGCAGAAAAGGTACTATTAATTTCACTTTTATGAGCCCTTAATCAAGCTATAGTTGCCTTCTCTCATAATTTATTTAATAAGTTATTATTTGATTCCTGCATGTTTGAGTAATCCTGTATTTTCCTACATTTGAGACTTGAGTGCTCAGAATCTTTGGTTTTCACTTACCCCCAAAATGAAGACTAAGTTATAGACATGGGTTAAAAAATCTTGTTTGGCCATTTTTAGCAATAAAAACATGGTAATTATGCTGCAAGATTAATGACAGTCAAATTGAAATTGCAATTTGAATGGACACAATTAGCAAATTACAATGGCTGCAAATTTTTTAAGTATATTAATTTAATTTCCTTCACAAACAAAAAAAACCCAATGTCTTATTTTGCATAAAAACAGCTGACCCTGTAGTTTAGATCTGTACAAATATGTTCTGAATTGTGATTCTTGTTTTTGTTAGTTCATATTTCAGTCATTTTTGTCAATTCTTCTGGATGCATTTACAATGTGAACTTTGAACAGAATCATACTATTAAAACATAAATTGCAAATATAATTGCAATCATAAAATATTGTAATTAGATATTTTTCCCAATTTGTTCAACTAACGTCTTCTACAATCCACTGTGCTACTGTGAAATTCCCCTATGAAGAGATGGGGTCCATTTCTTATAAGCTCTTCTGTTCAAATCAAACACATCTCCATGATTGATCCAAACCTTTGACAAAATACTTCTTGCAGAACCTCCTGAAGGTGTTCTTTTCGACATAGGTGAGTCCAGGGGGGTAGGTCCTAGTGGAGATGTACAGCTCCACGGCGTCGTATTTGGCAAAAAACGCATCCTTCAAACAAAAAACCAAACTGTGTCAGGCTTTACAACAGGGAAATGTTTTCATCCATTTTATTTGACTTTACCTCCTGATCCTCGTCCGCCTCTGCAGCATTTTGACTCTCGTTCAGACCCTGGATCTGATCACAAAACACAACAACAGGTTAAATAAATCTAATTCTTCACCAAGTCCAACATGAACCATTTAATTTAAGTCCTGGTTTAGTCCAAGTTTGGGTTTAGTCTCAAAGTTAATTTTCAACCAAACTTTGATCTAAAAGTTGTCTAACCATCAACCCTGGTCTAGTCCTTGCTTAGTTATAGTTTAGTTCTGGTTTAGCCCTTGTTTGGTCGTGGTTGAGTCCTAATTCAGTCCAGTCCTTGTTAAGCTTCTAGTTAAAACCTGGTTGAGTCCACGTCTAGTCCTGGTTTAGTCCTGGTTTAATCCTGGTTCAGTCCTGGTTCAATGATGGTGCAGTCCTTGCCTAGTTCTGGTTCAGTCCCGGTATCTGGTTCTTACCGCCTCATCTCCGTGGGTCTTGATGGTGGGCACTGCGTCTGGCTTCAGCACCTCTCTGCCCCCTGAGCGGTCAAAGCAGTCCTCAGTGAAGTGAACAGAGCAGACAGAGGACCAGAGGTGAGGGTACCAGTGAGGACGCCCCGCCGCCTTCAGCCAGCGAGCCAGCAGAGGGGGGCTGTCCATGGGGAAACTACAGAGAGAGAGAGGGGGGTGGATGTCACAAAGACTGCAAGTATTAAAGTCTCTTGAAGATAACCAAATGTATCTTGCTCAAGGGTACAACAGCAATTATTCTTTCCTGATTTGAATAATTTTGAGATCATCAAAAGTGGGACCCATCTCCAGATCTTGAGCTAATCTTGTTCAGGACTGCCTTAGCTGGAGCATTTGGCCTATTGTGCATGCTTTAGGTTGATGGAGGAAACCAGAGATCCGAGAGGAACCCCACCCAGACACAGGGAGAACAAGCAAACTCGCAATAAAGCACAGATGACCCAGAGCCAAACCTAGATCCTCAGGTGACGGACTCCTAACCACAAAGTTACATAGTGCACCTTTAAACCTTCATACTTAAGAACCTGAGCCCGAGTACAGACTGTTGTTAGACTGTTCAAAGTTTCAGTTCAAAGGTTCATACTTGTGGAAGGTGAGCCCCAGCTTCCTCTCCACGGGCCCACAGCAGTTGGTGCAGGTCATGATGCTGCAGCGGAGCCACTTCCTCTTAGATCGGCTGAGGCAGGTGGGACAGCGGGAGATCCAACACGACAGGTCTCTGCTCATGGAGTACCAGTAATAATGTCTCACAATGGCTTTAAAACAGGTGCCGTGTCCATAGTGACCGCCGTTATCGTGGAACTGCTGCAGGATCGCATTAACCTAAAAACACAAGAGGAACCAATTTAAGACACTGTGCCTAATAGAATCTTCAGCGTGAATTGGTCCAGACCTCCTCTCTGCTGCGGGGGACCCTGACCGGAGGAGAGCGCAGGTTGTAGTAGAGGACTCCATCTGAAAAACATCATATTATAACTGTAATAAAATTCAAATGGATTTATTATGTAAGAATGATGATGTAACAGTGACTGACCAATGAGAGTGAAGCGCTTGGCCATCCTCCTCAAAGAGCCCTTTCTCTTTTTGCTTTGTTGAGGAAGAATCCTGTGGCTCAGATACCTGCAGCAGAAAAGGATGCAGTTTTGATTTGAATATTTTATACTTCATTATGTATATCCATTTTATTTAATTAGTGCTCTGTGCAGTAAAAATAGAAGAGGACAAGAGTCCTTCAAACCTGGTCTTAGTCTTGGGTTCTGTCCTGCTTCAGTCCTTACCTGGCAATGTGGTTGTATGTGGTGAATGAAGCACTCTGCCTGGACTCCTGCACTGGGTCTGGGGCCTCTCTCGGATGGCGTTCTGGGACTCTGAGGCTGTACTGGTGCTCCTGGAGGGGAGGGTCACTCTGCTCCGAGCTGAAGCCCACCGGACACACCTCTGCTGTGGCCGCGGCACAGGTTAAGAGGTCCTCCAGAGACGAGGGGTGGAACAGAGGCTCTTCTGAGTCTGACGTCTGGGGACAGGAGGAAGAAAAACTCAAACAAAAGGATTATTTCATTATTTACAACTATACATGTTTTCAATGAGTAAACACAAAAAAAGTCAGATAATCCCCTCTCTGTAAGCCCACCTGTTTGGAAACCCCAATGATGGTGGGCACTGCGTCTGGCCTCAGCTCCTTGTGTCCCTCTTCGTTCATAAAGAAACAGTCGGGTTCAAAGTGTCTGGAGCAAAGTCTGGAGCCTTTTCTGACCGAGCCCTCGTCTCTCTGAGCAACCACCAGCCAACGCTGTCTCTGCTCCCCGGGTTTAGGGAACCTGGAGAGAGGAGATTGTAGCCTTATACTCTACACTGGAATTTTACATTTGTGTTGTGTCATCATTTTACAAATAGAACATGAATTCATTTCATGACCATGGGGGGGATGCAAACTGTCTAATGTGGGAAACACTGTACACATCATCTGGTACTTTCTTTGCAACACTGCAATATCCCCATTTTGGAACAAATAAAGTTAAGTATTGAGCTTCACGTGATGAAAGAATGACACTAACAGCTTTGCATTTAGCATTTTCAAAAAACAAGGCTTTCTAGTCAGCTACTGAAATAGTAGTAGTAGTAGTAGTAGTCGTGATAATATAGTAGTAGTTATAATAGTAGTAGTAGTAGTAGTAATATTAATGATAATATAGTAGTAGTTATAGTAGCAGTAGTAGTAATATACTGACTTGTGGAAGGTGAGCTCTGGGTAGATGTAGCTGGATCCGTCGCAGCCATAGGCCAAACAGTACTGCACCACCTCTGAGGCCTCTGGAGCTCTTCTCTCTTTACACGCATCACAGCGCTTTATGTAATCTTTAACCATGTCCGTCACCCCCACCCAGTAATACATGGACTGAGGAGAGACAACAATATGACTAATACACAGACACAAAACACACATTACAGATAATCAGTATCATTATCACCATAATGTAAGCTTGCTTGGCAAATCCAGACTACCTCTCTCTATTTCTATATAGAGGGATATCAGTCTGGTCAGCGAACCAAACATGATCATCCAATCAGATTTGTTTATTTCAGTGATGGATGTAAAACAAAGGAGCTCATTGGTCACCATCATTTACAAACAAAATCACATTTCTCTCACTTGAGATTAACAGTTAAGCACTTTGTTCATGGATTTTGCAGAAATCAGCCATGTTTTTCTGTGATTTTTTTGTATTTTCTTTTTTCCTCATTAGCAGCCATATTTGTTTTGATAAAGCTGGCCATGTGTGTCCTTGACTGGCATACCCACCTGTCAATCATGCTTGTAAAGTATTGAAGAAGTATTCTAAATCCCAGAAAAAACACAGCAATGGTTTATACCACTATTTTAGACCACTGTAAACCTAGAGTAAAGCTTTTTTTATTTTTCTAGTTCCATCCTCACCATGATCTCCCGGACCATGCGTACTCTCCCTGCATGGTTATTGTTGTCGTGGAACTGGACCATGATTTCCCGCACCTGCTCCTCACTCATCACGGCCTGTAGGAGGCGCCCTCTGTACTTACGCAACAGGCACCCATCTGAAACACAAGCAGCAGAGTGGTTATTCTGTCTCCTCCTCTTAGTAAGGAAGTTGTGGGTTTCTGTCAGAAAATAACAGAGATATTAACACAAAGAAACTCAGAAGGCAGAATTCAGGTTTTTACTTGCGGCGAGGGACAGAGGCGCTGCTACAGCTCTTAACTGCCGAAGAGTCACCGTCCAACGCCATGTATTTATTGAATCACACAGGTTACAAGAATAAATGGGCGGTTACATTTTTCTATCACAGTGAAAAACACAGAGAATAAAAGTGTGTATTGTGTTTGTGTGTGCCAGCTGCTGAGGTGTAGGAAGGAATGTGCATAGGGAGGACTGTCCTTGCAGAAGATAACAGTTAATAAGGAGTTGGTTTTCCCGTGAGAAATACACTTTGAGAAATACCGTTTGTAATAATAATAATAATATGGAGAAAAATGCCGCACACCGTCTTACTTGCAAATAGTGAAATTTATTAGGACAAACACTAGGCCTTTGTCAGGCAAAACGTTTTGCCTGACAAAGGCCTAGTGCCGAAACATTGCACGATTTGTCCTAAATTTAAATTGCAAAAGACGGTGTGCGGGATTTTTCTCCATGTTCTTGGGCTGCTCCCTCTCCTCCAACGCACCCATCTCTAGTAACTGATGTGCGAGGCTCTCATTCTTTCATAATAATAATAATAATAATACAAAGAAGCATCTATACATCATTTGAAAAACTCTTTAACAGTTTCCCTTTTTCAAACACGAACCTTTATATATGAAGTGCTTGCTGGCTTTCCGGGCCACATATCGCTGCGCAGCTGTGGTCTCGGGATGAAATTTTCTTTTTCGTAAATACAGCTCCACGCGGTTTAAAATGTCAAAGGAAGGCATCTGAAAAAGATAAACCCAAACAATATTCATTTGAGCTTAGGGTTTTATGCTTTTTCAGGTACATAAAAACATTGAAAGTATTGAAAATCTAATACTAACTGATACTAAAACCAGTATTGGAAACTAGATACTAATTTGAGCAAATATCAATACTAAAAAAGTCACATTCACAGGACAGAAATAAACCTTTCCTGAATAGCTTTAGAATGATCTTGAGCTGCATCAGAACAAGTATAAGAGCACATAGACTAGTATACATCCATGGACCAATATGGAACCTACCTGGACCACTGAGGGATTACATGGATACAAGACCACCTGGAAATATAAAAGAAATTCTTGTTATTTAATGTTGGAAATCACATTCTATTTTCTAAAGAAAGAGTGTTTTTATTATCGATGTGGTATAGGAATCAGTATTGAGTATCAAGCCTATTCCTTAACAAATTAAATTAATTTTCAAAATTATAGACATTAATTTACCACATTATTATTACTTTTATGTCACAGAATGCACAAATTTGGATTCTGATTCCATTTTATATTCTGTTGTTGTGTTCAAATTAGATTTAATCTAATTTTGGATTTACAAACACAATTTCTAATCTTAAAACAGTTTACTATAAAAAATACTTGCAGAATTTGTTCAATTTCACACTCAAAATGTCTGAGAATGCTAAAGCCCATTTAAAACTTTACATTATTTTAACCAACTTCACATCCCAAATGAAATGTTATGAACCAAGATGATTTTCAGTAGTGTTTACAGCAAAATTTAGCCTCTTCGTTTACAACATGAATCTGAGCAATATTTCTTTTTGGTCAAGATTTTTTGGTATTTTGAAACATATATTTTAGAGAGTAAACATGCTCAGATTGATCATGAGTAAAAGGTGTTGAAGCCATTCCCACCGTTAGAACATGATCGATCGGTCCACAAAAATCTCCGTAACACCGTCGCCAACTTTCCCCTAAAAACTGACTTTATTTGCGCAATTTTTTAACCTCAACTATTCACACAACCAGGTTAATTTCATGGACAACATCTTTAACTAGCTAAAACTAGTCCAAAGCGGCATTTTTAGACAGAAAATCGAGGCTAAATTGTGCTTAAAGTTGATCAAGCTACAAATGCATGTAAAGTTAACAAAGGTTAACAAGTACTAACCGGAAATGAGGCCATCAAAATAAAAGTAAAATGTGCCTTTAATTCAAACAAAATACATTAAAATACTTTATTTTCTGTTTCGTAATTTTTTCTTGAAGATTTAACCTAATGATAATGAAGAATAAAAGATAATAAAAATGAATTAAGCCGTTAAATTCAGTTGTCGTGCTTTAATTGCGCTAAAATATATGTAAACAGGAACCTGCCCTGTTGTCATCTGGGTTAATTTTACTAGAGTCGTGTTTGGTGCAGGTTGCAGAAGCTAACGTAACCCCAACACGCTGAGCTCCGTCTGCACAGTTCCTTTGACTGAACTGGGACTGATGCCATCTACAGACACGGAGGAGAGGAGAAAAATGCACCAAAATAGTTGTTGTTTACATTGTAATTTTAGTTATTAATTGTTGTTATCATTTAGACAAATTGACTGAAAGATGTTAACGTAACCTCATATATTGTAGTTTCTTTATTAGTAAGCATAGCTTTAAAAAAATTATAATAATAGACCTTAGACCCACTTTGTGCATGAAATGAGTCTACCATAAACAAAGTAGATATGATAATTAAAATAATATTATGGATTGTACATTATGACAGATTGTCTTTTCATAATGGCTCTTTAGTGCAGAAGACATTAGATGCAAGTGAACATTTAGTCCTCAATTTTAAAAGATTACAATCCAAAAAATGATAACAGCTTTATAAAGCTGTGGTGTAAAACTGGTTTTAATCCTAGTTTAGACCTGGTTAGGACCTGGTTTAGTTCTGATTCCATTCTGGTGTAGTTCTGTGTGTCATGCAAAACTATTTCCATAAAGACAGATAACCACAACATTTTACAAAAATCACCAAACATGTATTTTATTATTAGATATAAGCATGTCATTCATTTCTTTTAGACAATCTCAAGATTTAGTGCTATTTTTTGTACAGTACATTCATACAGAAACTGGTCAAGTAAAAGAAACTATGTTAGAATGTTGTTACCTCTTCAAAAACATACCCAGCGTTGTTTTGTTTCATTCACACACGTTTGAGTAACCCTTTATTATTAGTCTGTCTACATCTCTAAACCTCAAAATGCTCTGTTCTACCTTGTGATGTCATGAAGCAGTTTTCAAGTTAACAGCTCCTTTTACCTTCATTTCAGAAGAGATGGGAAATTCCAGGGTTGAAATAATCTAAATTATTCTAGTGAAGGTGTATGGGGTTTAAAAGCACAGTGGTGCACTTCCTGTATTACCACTTAATGAGGTCACATGTTGGCATGAACAGAGTTTTTGCTAATTGAGAATGCAGAATTTGTGTGTTAAGTGTGTGAATAACACAAAACACAACTACAGGTATGCTTGTGATGAGGAAACAACATTATACCAATCAGAAAATAGCAAAATATTGTCCCTTTTTTAACCAACATATTCTTGTGATTGTCTACGTGTCTGCTGGTACTGTGCTGCTTTCTTCTCCAGGACTCACTTGAAAAACGGATTAGTGATCTCAATGGGACTTTCCTGGTAAATTTTTTTTTTAAAAATAGACTCCTCTCCACTCAAAATTCCATGATGTGCGTGTAAGGCCCGTTCGTGTCCAGTTTAAGGACCTGTCTGTTTCCATAAGTCCCATGTTTTACTAGAACATTTTCTTTTGAGGCAAATTGTGTTTCGCACAGTGCCACAAACGCCTCATACAGTCGTAGTCCGTCCTCTTTGTTGATGTTGTTGTGATATTGCATGGCTTTTCCTTTGGCTCTTCCCCCTAAAGTCGCCTGGGGGACGATCAGTAAATTCCCAGGAAGATCCAAAATGGACACCATCTTCCCCGATGATGACTCACTAAGGCGTATGTTCAGGAGAGTCGACACTGAGAGAGAGGAGAAATAAATAAGTGTGATTTTATATATTTTATTAAACTCTGTTTAGACTGTCAATCCAGACTATTGGTAAAATTTTTTCAAATAACTTTGCTTTAAATTAGACACTGAGAGAGTGATTCAGAGTGATAGTATTATTTTTACTGACCCATCTTTGGCAGGATTTCATCAGTGGCTCCTTTGAAGAAACAAATGTAGATCACCATTCCTTTGTCAATCTGAGGGAGAGATGTCATAATAGTTTAATCTCAATCTCTTTAACATGAACATTTCAATTCAATTCAAAAAGTGTATTGTTAATTTTCATATGAATCATATGAAGAATTTACATAATATGGCAATACAGTGAGAAGTTTTTTAGTGGATTTGGTATGATCGTAACAATATGGACATGCTTAATGCATCTATTCTCAACCATCACTCTGAATTATAGGATTGCATATATCTAAACATTTTTTCCTTCTAATGTTTGGACTAAAACCTAATTCATAATAATCAAAACACTTAAACACAAAATAGCCACAGGCAACGTAATAAATCTATTAAATCTGGCTTGTGACCGCTATTCACTGATTACATGATAAAGAAGAGCCAGTGCCAAATGTGAATACATCCCTGATCCATCCATTCTTGGATCCTGAGCGGTTCTGACCTGCACGTACTCCGCCTCAGAGCCCTCTTCGGCGGGTTTGACCATCAGCGACGCCCGGAGACACTGCTGCAGCACCGTGCGAGCCACCGGAGCTTCTTTCTCCGACATGATTCCACTTTTACCTCCAGCTCTGTCCGATTTTAACCAGGATCTGACCGCTGTCTCAGGTGCATGTGAGAAAAAGAGAAAGAGTGCGTATTTACTTCCGCGTTACGTCCAAACAAACCCTACGTCACCAATTATTGCTATTATTTATTTATGCTATTTGAGTGAGGTTTGTTTTGATTTTTTGTAATATAGTTTTGTTTTGCGTGTAACAGAACTCCACGTACATTTGTTGTACTCATTTGCATTCTATTTGAACAATTTATAGTTTATATAATATATTTTTGTTTAGTTTATCTGAGGGCTATAAAAATAATAAGTAAAATAATAATAAGCATTATTATTAATATATAATATAATATTTATAGCTTGTTCGTGAACCTCAAATCTTACGCATGCGCATTGGACATCCCCGTGAGCCTGATTAAACATGGCGCATTTCACTTACAGCAGATTGTCACATTTTCTGAAATTATCGGTGAATAAAGTTTCGGTTGTACGAGCTGGACCTGAAATCCAACACGTCCCTGGGTGCTGTGTTCAATCGATACGATGGCAGGTGGGAAAACGGCTTAAATGTGGATAAAATCACGGTTTTACGGTAGATTCAGAGCAGAGTTAGCCATTAGCGTTAGCCACAGAGAAAACGGAAGTTGTCAGAATAAAAGCGCTTGCAAATAATGTAAACAATGTGAGATGAACATGATTATGTTGACCATATAGTTGTACTGTTTGGTTATATGTGGTCATCTTAATACTTACTGTTACTCATCTTAATACTTACTTACTCTGACAAAATATAAAGCTAAGTATGCAAAAAATCCATTAGCCTTAAGAGGCTAGTAGTGACTAAAGATAAAATAGGAATCGAGTCAGCCATTAGCTTAGATTAAAAAAAAAAAAAAACTATGTATTTGCCTTCATTGGGAATTAAAAGAGCTGTACATTAAGGAGTTCTTCACATAGTCTTGCTCAAAGACACAAATGCATGCCGCACTAGAGGGTGCAGAGATCAGCCCACAAACCTATGAGTCAGTGGACTGTACTCTATCAGCTATTCAGGATGATTTACAATATTATTATTATATTATTGCTTTATTTATTATAAGTTGTTTTGTTCTTGTGGGCTTTATCTTATCTTATCTTGTGAAATTTGTGTCTCATTTGTCTTCTACCTATAGCACCATGGCCTGTCCTTCCTAGACTTCCCTTACCCTCCTGTTTTTTGTATTAAAGCGTTCTGTGGACAGTAAGACTCTGCAGGAGCGGCAGAGGCAGCAGATGGCTCGAGGTCTCCCCAAACAGAAGCCCATCTCTGGGGTCAAACAGATCATCCTTGTGGCTTCAGGGAAGGGAGGAGTGGGCAAGTCCACCACAGCAGGTTAACACTGTTATTGTTACTAAAATGATATGTTTTATTTATTCATATGTACAATATTTTTTATAATGTTTGATTTTTTTTGTTTCTATAGTTAATCTGGCACTGGGACTTTCTGCAAATGATTCGGTGAGTGTAACAGATGGATAGATATCTTTATCAAAGAATAACAGACAGGCAATATAAAAATACAAAGAGACGACTATGCCAGTGTTTCCACAGCTGAGAAGTGTAGCAGATGGCACTGTAACCAATATTAGTACAATAAAATCCCCATGTTTCAGTCGGCACATACATTTATACATAATATTTGTTAAAATGGCAGCACTGTATTAACTTTTTGGACACAAAAGTTCACTAGTCCATGAGTATTAGTAATAGTAAATAACTGAATAACTTAATAAGTAAATAAATAGATTGATTTTGAGCAAATTTTATTAATATTCTAAGTTTTGTTGTGGTAATTAATGTCACAAAAGTTAAAAGTAATATTTTTATGATTTGATTCACAATTAGGGCAATTACACCCACACAACTTCCAGAAAAAGTAAGTACTGGATTAAAAGTTTTAGATTTTGTTCATCAGGACATTGGATTGTCATAACACATCTTGACATTTTTCTGTTGTATATTTTCATTAATGAGCAACAAAACCACTTCCTCTTCATCTTTCAGTCTAAATCCGTTGGCTTGTTGGATGCTGATGTTTACGGCCCCTCAATTCCCAAACTGATGAATCTGAAGGGGAGCCCAGACCTCACAGACAGTAAGTGCTTCATAGTTAATTCATCTGAACAGATTATACATCAGAAGATTAAAACACAAGTGAATCCTGTTTTCCAGACAATCTGATGATCCCTCTCATGAACTATGGCATTCCCTGGTGAGTTTAGACACTTAAAAACAATTTTTCACATTTTTAAAGAGATCGTAAAACAAGTTCCATTTTATATTTAATCAACTCTTTTGTAACATTTTGAAAGATTTAATTATTATGAATGTTATACTCTTAAAAAATGTTATATCTTCAAAGCTACATTGAGGGTATTTGATATAATGCCCACCTCTACTCGGATATTGAAAATTGCACGGGTCATATAAAAACGTCTTTGTAATACTAAGTTGTAATAAAAGTACCTATAGAGATTTTTTATGAATTCATGCTCAAATACACTCTGCTCATGCTTTCAGATATAAAATACAGATATTGAATGTATTATTGGTTTATATAAGACTCTCTCCTGTTGTAGTATGTCCATGGGTTTCCTGGTGGATGAAATGGCTCCAATCGTGTGGAGAGGTCTCATGGTGATGTCAGCCATTGAGAAGCTGCTCAGACAGGTACAAATTTTGAAACTCATCTGTAATTAGATCAGCCAACCCAGCCATTTTGCATTCTCACATATCACCACTAGATGCTATCTACTACTCTCTGATAGACAGAAGACCAGAGAGGGGGGAGGGGCCAGGTGAGGGGAGGGGAAAAGGTTTCACAATCTGCCATCTACAGGTAAAATCAAAGCTTTAAATCTGGGAATAATGCATGAGAATTAAGGGTTTGTGAGAGATAGGGACACGTTTTAAATACATAATTCCTCCTTATAGGATTTGATAATGGGTACCACAGCTCTAAGCTCTAAGAGCAGAATTTCACTTTTATAACCATTATTTTATGTTTTTTGGGCACACAAGAAACCTTTTCTGTATAACATTTCTCCTCATTCAGCCTTTAGATTAAAAAAAAAAAATGTTGTAACTGCCTCATAAGACCCAAGCTTGCAAGTGTGGTTTGTGTGTCAAAAACTGTTTTGTACCCACAACACATTTAACTATTCTATACTGTACTGTCAATTGGTTTTAAAGTCTCTGTGTTGTCTGGTCTTGTAAAAACTATTGAAAGTGAAGTTCTAATTATAAATAAATCTTGTGTTCCATTGTTCAGGTGGACTGGGGGGAGCTGGATTTCCTGGTGGTGGACATGCCTCCAGGAACAGGGGACGTGCAGCTGTCCATCTCTCAGAATGTGCCTGTGGCTGGTTAGTTTTTCCGTGGGAATAAAATACAGTAAAAGTGATCATTTTTGTTGGATTTGATCATGTTGCATATATTTTTTACTTTTCAGGAGCAGTGATTGTGTCCACTCCTCAGGACATCGCACTGTTGGATGCTCGACGAGGAGCAGAAATGTTTAACAAAGTCCATGTTCCGGTGAGACTTCATGTACTGATGTCTGACCTGGGAAACATGATTTAGTTCTTTTGTGCTTGCCACTTATAGTAAGTCTTTAAGGCTTTAACACCTCCTTGGCTCCCCCTGCAGGTGATTGGTTTGGTGCAGAACATGAGTGTGTTCCAGTGTCCAAACTGTCTCCATCAAACTCACATCTTCGGTTCAGACGGAGCCAAGAACCTCGCTCTGTCTATGGGCGTGCATTTCCTTGGTAATTATACAGCCTCTAACATTTGTATTGGTCTTTATTATCCAGACAAGCCTCTCAGAGTGCACAGTCATTATTCATTCAGTCCACACTTGCACGCTCATGATTGGAACTAGGATCAATGGTTAGACCACTCATACCCAAAGACTGGATGATCAATTCCCGCTTGTCTGTTGTTGTGTTCTTTGGCAATCCATCTTGCATAGCATGAAAGTGATGTGGGAGTGAGTGATTGACAGTTGTCTGAGGGGCCGATGGTCTGCCCCAGGGCAGCTGTGGCTACAGGAGTATCTTAACACAACCTAGTGTGAAGTGAATCAACAATGACCCACTTGTGGAGCCTATCATTATTACTATATTCTATCTTGTATTTAAAATCAAATCGGACAAATACCCAAGTTAATCTTTTATTTTTACATTCAGGTGATGTCCCTCTCCATCTGAGCATCAGAGAGACTTCAGATAGTGGAAAACCTGTGGTGGTGTCTGCTCCGGACAGTCCTGAGGTTTGGATTCATTCTCATATTAACAAATAAAATCAATAAATCTGTACTTTCTCACCATTGATCAGATATTGTTAGGGTTGCACAAGTTCACATTTTAAACACGTCCTGAGTAATTGACAAAACACTGAAATCTGAACTGACAAACTAATACAAGACTTACATTTCAGAATATGTTTATACAGATCTAAACTACAGGGTTAGATGATTTATGCAGAATAAGAAGGAGAGTTTGTTGTCTGTGGAGGAAATAATCGTACTTAAAAAATGCAGCCTTTGTGATTTCCTCATTGCATCCATTCAAATTGTGATTTCAAGTCTAGATTGCTGTTAATCTTGCAGCCCTAGATTCTGTTGACAAAATCTCACATGTTTTAAAATAATGACACCATTTTGTGTTTCAGGCCGAGGCGTATAAGAGGCTGGCAGCTGCTGTCGTGCAGAGGCTAAAACAGCTTCATTCATGACCCTGATTTACTTAGCTCATTAATTATTTTTATTTTTAACTAAATATGAAAAAATAAGCATGAAGATGAAACACAGCCGCTATGATGCACAAAAGACCACTTTGTCTGTTTACAGTATGTGTAAAAAAATAAATTATTAATACAAAAACTCTGCTGAAAATTATTTGAGTGAAAAGACTTAAAATATAGTCATGAGAGAATTAACTTTTTTTTTTTTATTTCACTGGGCAACAAGTCTATGTCCTAAACCAGTACAGGACTATTCTAGGTTTAAAGCAGGTTTAAAAGTGGACTACATTATTTCTACTGTTGTTCTAAATAAGAAATGATTCGAAGGAGGACAAAAAGTGGATAAAATGATATAGTTCGACAAACTCACACACTGAAAACCTGTACATGTACCACAGTACTAAAGTATTCATACACTTTGTTAACTATATATTTTGTATACTCACGGTTATTTATGTTAATTCATGTTTTTTCACTCAAATTTTGATACCCCGTTTGTGACGTGGTGCAGTTCCAAACTCGCCAGCAGAGGGTGCAATGGTACAAAAAATATAGGCTATGTCCCTAGTATTTTTTTCTAATACCGAGCCAGTAGGATAGAAAATGAAGTATAGCCAGTTGTACTTGGAGAAAAATATTATTTCTTAGGTCGAATCACAACAAAATACAGGTAGAGGTGACAAAGTATGTGCCACGCTAATGTAATATATTTTGATGTGAATACAGAGCCTAAAATGTTCTCTATGACATTAAACAGCTCTACCTTACATTGATTCAATTAGAGGTGATTTTACTACTCAAAAATACCTAGAAAAACAGGCATGCAGACAGATCTGACCTGTAACTTGCCCTGGTTTAGTCTCCATGAAGGTAAAAAGGTTTAATACTATACTGTGAAACATTCCAGACAAAGCAATGACACCTTCGTGAAGAAAAGCATTTGAAGGACCCTCCACCAGAAAAGTTACCCAATGCACATATAAAGGTAAGTAACTTTTTTGATTAGAATGTTCCACAGTTTGGCATTTAAAGCAGAAATACTGTATTACGTGTCTTTGTCAGTCCTTGTGATGGTTAAGTACGTATTTTAGATTTTTTGAAGCATTAGCTTAGTTCTGTGTCAACTAATCTATCTGGCGTCTATTTAAATTCAGGAGTCCAAGTGCTTAAAATGTACCTTAAAACCATGTATGCAGGGGGCTTTAATAGAGAGAGAAAGAAAAACGTAATAACAATGATTTGACTAAGAATTATTATTTTTTGAATGCAGTTAAATAAAGGCATTGTGTCCTTAAGTGAGTCAGTGTAATCCTCGTTTGAATGATCTGTGGTAGGAGCTGCAGGTTTCGTCAGTTTTTGAAATGGAAATGCTTAAACTTCCATTTGTCATTTTTAATTTGAAGGACCTGGATTAGGCTGGACTAACACCGCTCAGGGCAGGAGAACTTCGAACTTCAGATGAGCTTCAGAGGAGTTGAAACATCTCAACTCCAAAAGTCTCCAGATGATAACCTTTGACCCTTCTTTACCAGAGTTCTCTTAAAGGATACGGGGTGCTGTCTAAGAGAACCTCTTTTTGGACTTGTCCCATTGTGAAAAGTATTGTGTCAGTCCAGTTCTGGGCTGGTTCATGAAGGCATTTAGATTAATGTTTAGATCGTTCATGACATTCTTCTGGAACTTCTGATGTCATATTTTGCTCCTCGCCAGAAGTTCCATCTGTCTCTGGAGCTCTTTGGTCAGATATCTGCAGGACCTCAAACTGGACCAGTTCTGGAACAGAGTCTGGACTTCGACTTTCCAGTAAAATGCCTTCTTCCCGGTCCTCCTCAGAAACCATCTCTGGAGCTCTAGTCTCAGGAACCTCAGTGGATTCTTGAGTTGAATTAAGATCTTCTGCTGTCGCGTTAATTTCTAGATGTTCCTCTTTGTTACAGTCTTCTGATTTTTGTATCTCCATTGGACTTTTGAGCTCCTCATGTTCTGGGTCTCCTGGCTTTGGCGTCTCCCTTGGACTCTGAGAAACTTCCAGGTTTTGAATGCTCTCTGGAAGTCCAAGGTTTTCTGGGTTCTGGTCCTCCTCCTTTTTTTAGATGCGAGGAAAAGACATCATTCAGAAATAACTGTTTCCGAAATATTTGTCTCATTCTTCCATTACAGTCTGAGCTGAAGTGTCTTTGTCAGGTCCATGAGAGCTATGACTCTCCTCTGATGTCTGCTCTGAAACATTGTTTTCAGCTATGGTCTGTGGACTGTGTCTCTCCTTTTGGTTGTCCCGGTCTGGAGTTTGCTGTGTCTCTGAACCTTCTGCCTTCACTGGATCTTCTTTCAAGGGACTGTCCCTCTGAATGCTCATCTGGAGTGGATTCCTCTGGTTTCTCCTTGAGAAAGTCAATTTCTGGGACTATAAATCTCGTTATGAGGAGCAGTGCAGTGGATGCATTCCTTTTGGCCTCCTTCTTTGAGCATCCAGAGCCAGAGGAGGTGTACTGGTCCAGAGTCACCTCCGTAGTGAACACCCAGCTGCTGTTCACCAGGTGGTACTCAGGGGCCTTCTGTCTGCTGATCATCTGCAGCTCAGACAGATGTGTGCTGGGGTCCTTCTCCAGACGAAAATCTGGAGGGTTGTAAGCAGGCGGAGCTCTGCTCTGTTGGACCGAAGCTCTTTGGTTTGGAGTCTCCAGAGAGTTCTTTGGTTCAGGAGCAGGTTCTGCCATGATCTAAGGAGCAGATGGGATCAGCTCCTCCTCTGGGACTGTGCATCTCATCAAAAAGAGCAGAGCTGCAGTCACTCTCCTCCTGGCCTCTTTCTTGAAGCCCACTTTGCCCACAGCAGTATAATGGTCCAGGGACACCTCCATGGAGAAGGCCCTCTGAGCATCAGTCACCGTGGCCTCCAGCAGGTGATACTGGACAAGCAGGAATTTGCGGGTCATGAGCAGCTCGGACAGGTGAGTGCATGGTCTTTGCCCAAACCAAAGTCCGGACGGCTGTGGGGCGGGAGGCTGCTGTCGGCATATCCACGGTTCCCCTCGTGCATCTCCAGCTGCTTTAGCACCGTGACACAGGCCCTGATCACTTTCTTCTCTCTTTCCTTTTGGGTCCTCGTGCTTCTTCGCTGAAGGTCCCGACTGAAGCTCGAATAGTGAAGATGGGGCAGGGGTCGGTGCCCTGGTGGACTCTGAGAAGTCCACAGACAGATCCAGGTTTTGTGGCAGACTGGGCAGACTGTACAGCCGTTTGATGATGGGTATGTAACTCTGAGCGGTCATGTTAAAGCTGCATGCGTGCAGTGGAATAGAGAGAGTAAAGTGTCTGCTGAAATGTTGTCTTGTTCTGAACTGCGTCTTCGACAAAGGTTTGCTTCAAACTGAAGAAGTCTGAGCTGTGTTCACTCCCACAAGAATCACTATGGAATCCTGTGATGTCTGTAATGTCACAGGTGATGTATCATGGACACAGGACATGTTCAAACTGTTGTTATGTCCTTAAACCAGACACTTCATCCACCCTAGCATGAATGTAGCGTGTGTGTTGGTGGTGGGAAGGGCTGATGCTGCGGACTGGCAGCCTCACTTCTGTCCCAGGGCAGCTATGGTTATATCTTACTCCACCGAGTGTGGAGTAAAGGAATATTGCACAGTAAAGCACATTTGGTGTCTAAACAGAACTGTATAAATCCAATATGTTTTTCTTATGAGCTCAGCATTATTTGGTTGCAGTCTTAACATTTTGACTCTTCAGGTCCTTGATGTATTTTGTCTTTTGCTTCTTGAATATTTTTTTTTATGAAACTTGAATAAAAATCCAGAAATACAAAAAAATGATGAGCGGGAAACAGATTTGTGAAATTGGTGAAACTCCCGAGTGGTCGTTTTGCATGAGTTTTACCTGAGGACAGAGACACAGACGGAGCAGCATGAATTATTTATGACAGAAATAAAAAAGAAGTCGCTTGGATTTTTCTTCACCTCATTTTTCACTTCCTCAATTTTAGAGCCAACCTTAAACTTAAATCTTTCAACTTATTCTTAAAGGGTTGAGTGTAGAGACAAAAGTACAAATCTTTTTTGCCATCTCTGTTTGTGAAATGTGCGTTTTGGAACAAATTTATTAAAGGCGCATTGTGTAACTTTTCTGGTGGCGGGTCCAACAACATTCTTTTCTCCATGGAAACGTTATTGCTTTGTCTGGAATGTTTTATTGTATAGTATTAAAGCTTTCTATTTTCATGCCTGTTTATAGGTATTTTCTGGCAATAAAACCACCTGTAATTTAATGTATTTAAGGTAGAGCTAAACCAAAAAGTTACATAGTCCACCTTTAACTAAATCTAAGCTGAAAGAATTCATATTTTCAGTGTAAAATTCAACCTTGCTACCATGTTATTTTATTTATGTTTTTTATCCCAAGTCTTAAATAAAGTACTGGAGTATTTCTTTTTCTTTTCATACACACTCATATATAGAGCCTATATATGGTATGTAATGATAAATTCTCAGTAATATTTCATGAAGTGATTTTTGCCCCACCTGTGTCTCCATGGAAACAGTCAGGTTTAATTGGCGCCTGAAGCTTTCTCCTTCATCTTTTACTGAAACATGCTTTTTTTTTTTTTTTTACAGCATCACAACAGTGGCAGAGTGGTTAGCCTGTCTCCTGTGTCAGTGTGGAGGTTGTGGGTGAGAGACAGGAGGAACATATCTTGTATCTTGTTTCTTTACCGTCAAACTTCAGCATGGATCTGCATTTTAAAGTCAGTTGATAAAAACCGTCATGATTAATACAGAGATATTAATATTCATGAATTTGAGTCTGACCTAGTTTCACTTTCTTGCCTGAACTTAATAAACTCAAATGTCATCAAAACAGACAGACTGATAATATGAGGGTTGGTAAGGTGATAAGGTTAAGGTTTATTTTATTCATCTCTTGTGAGGGAAATTGATTCTCTGCATTTGACCCATCTTTCAGTGCTACTGGGCTAAATGATCTGCAGACAGTGTTGGGGAGTACCGGATTATGTGTACCGGCGTTACGTAATCAGAGTACAATTTATGAGTAACTGTATTCAGTTACAGTTACCATTTCAGTGAGTGGTAATTGGATTACAGTTACTTTGTTGAAATAAGTTGATTA